AATTTTTAAAAAAGCTTTAAACATGAAATTTATACTAGAATAAATGCTAGTGAAAAATGTCTCAATTAGTAAATCTTTTAAATTTGGTAATTATTTCACTATATATTTTTCAGTTATTTCACTCAGTGCAAAATTGATTTTAATTCCATTTCGTTTCCATTTCCTCGTTAAATTCTGCTGGTCAAATCAAATTTTAGCATGCTACTAATTATATGCATATGTTTTTATTTACTTTTATTTGCATTTTTCGCATTTTTTTCATACGTAAAAACCAATCAAATATTTATTGCATTTTTTGCTGCCTTTGCCAGGTTTGTTAGCTTGTTTTGATTTGATTAAATGTTAACATTTTGCACAAGTTAAGTGCAATAAATTCGAATTGGATTGCGTGGGAATGGGGACATTCATTACATAAATATTGCAATTGCTTTTTTGCTGAAAATTGTTTTCAGCAAATATCTTTAATTCAATTGAGCGTATAAAATCAGCCCTGTCACAGATTAAAGTGTTAATGCATATAAATGTTTTACTTATTTGCATACATTTTCGTTGGTTTTTCGTTCGTTTTCGCCGTGTTTTTATACGTGTTTCTGGTTTAGCGAACAATTTGAATTGAGCCACAGATACTTTCTGGCATTACAATGCTAAACTGATTATCCAACAGCGAAAACGGTTCGGCCATCATTATAAATTCAATTTAACCAATCAAACGGTCGTAATTTGATTATGTTGATTTTTGCACATTAATTGCATATTTATTGACTGAGCGCACACACAGCTGGCACAAAATGCACAAAAAGTGCAGCTTTTGTTTATTTTGCCGTGTTACATCATCAAAGAAAATGTTATGCTAGTCGCACAGCCGAAAGTGTTTTAATTGTCAATTAAAAGTCAGTGGGGAAATTGATTGAAAACAGTTGGGGGAGTTGGAAAAAATCCATATGTATTTGAATGTGTGCCTAAAACGTAATCAAATACAATTTAGTAAATAAAACTATATATTTAGTTAGAATTCAAAAATACGGCCCCACAACCACAGAGGTTATGCAATGCTCTTCAAGTATTTCACACTCAAATGAACTTGGCTCGGTCCACAAAAATGCCATATTAATTGCCAAAGAGCCAGTTGATTTTGCTGCTTAAACACACTCATAAATTGCTCCACAGCCAAAGTTCTTTGTTGTGGCCTCTGGCCAGGGGAAATTGGCCGGGTTGGCTTAGCTCTACGCTCAAGGATTTCTTTCTTGGCCACTTTTAGCTAGCCGGGATATCAAATTATATGCACACACCGCAAGCTTTTGCTGTGGCTTCTTTTGCCAATCGCCCAGTGGATAAACTCCGCTCCTCCGGCATCAATCAGTCCGGAATGAACTGGGTTGGACTCGAGTTTGGATTTGGGGAACGGGAACGGGAACGGAATTGGGGACGGCAACTCGATCTCCACTGCAAAATTCCTCTGCGTCCGGCGGACAGCTGCAGTTCATCTCCGGCACCGCAGAGGGAATTCGAGCGAAAAGCTGTGCCCGCCCGCAGTTCGTGCGAACGTGTCTCAATAACGAAATTAACAGAAATTGCAACATATTGTGTGGTGGTGGGGATGGTGATGGTGGGAATGGGGTTCTATAAGGGAGTCGTGCAATCAAATTGCACGGAAAAATGAACAGCACGTGACGGCCAATAACTGTGTCAAATTGATATTAAAACCAAGTCAAGATGTTGCTACTTCGATGATAAATAAAAGGAATTGCAACGGAAAAGAAACAGATTGTGGTATTACACAACAATAAATATTTATTAAAGCGTTAATGTGATTTCGTTTCAAAGTATACGGACTATTAAGAAAGAACATTCTATTAAGTTAAAAAAAAATAAATTTTAACATTTTAGAAAATTTAGCAATATGGTTAAGCCTAGCTTATGTAGTTTCTTATTTTAAAATATCAGTTTCTTTCTTTTTTTCAAACTTTTAAGCTTCAACAAAATAATAACTAAATTGAAAATGGGAAAATTAAAAGCAACCCTATTTCGGAAAAATATATATAGATTTAAGATCTTTGTATCAATTTTTATATTATTATTTATATTTAATAAATATATAAATAAGTTAAAAATTATTTTTTAAACTTGATAAATTACAAAAAAAATACTTTATAATTTACTACCTATACCTCTTTTTATATAAATAAGTTATGTTTACGTGAAACAACCTTGCCCGCCAATTATCGCATGACTAACTTCCCTTGAAGGGATTCCCTACACAAGGACCGCGCACAAAAACAAACTTCAACTCCTCGAATCCGTCACAGCTTGCTGCCAGGCAACAAAAAAAGCTTAATGAAGCGGCCAGGCCAGCTACCATCAACCATCTAAAAAAAAGTATATAAATTAGAGGAGTGGGGGCCAAGAAGGTCACAGTCTTTGGCAACTGTTGCCCCAGAACGAACGCAGAGCTCGTTTCTGGACTATTCACACAAGTGGTCCGAAATCAGGGCGAGAAGCTGGATGAGGAGAACGGAACCCACTGTGACCACAACGGACTGAGAGTCGCACATGTGACCAAAAGCCAGAAATTGGAGCGGCCATTGAATATGATAGAAATAGAAATAGAAATACGTACGTGCAAAAATTTCAACGCTTGATTAAATTTCAGTCACAGTCGAGGAGAAAAGGAGCAAAAGCGCCACAAGTGTGGGCCAACTTGAAAGACAATCAGGCAGCAATTTAAAACCATTTTCACTGTGGCCAGAACACCCATCCACAATCCAGAATCCACAATCCGGAATCCCCATCGAAACCCCTGGAAAATCGGATGCCACCTGCTGTGCGGCAGTTGCAGTAACTTCTGCTTGATTAGTTTTGATTTGGTTATTTGGCATTAGGCCATGTGCCCGGCCTTCTTTAACATGCTCTTTTGGCTTCCTTTCCTTTCCTGTCTCTTCGGACAGTGGAATAAACTAATTCCCAGTCATTGGTTGACGCAGATGGCTTTGCTTTTCGGACTGCAGGAAGGGATAGGGAGTTTTTCCGGCATGTGTGCTCGAGTTTTAATAAAAACTCGATCATTGTCCGCTTGGCCATATGTGTCGAAAGTTTTTGGGTAGGTACACGTTTGTTACAAATGAGTAAGTTGGGGGTTTCATTTTGGGTGAAAATTGAGGTCACGTAATGATAAGACTAAATACTTTTAGAAGTTAGCAAATTTAAACCTTTACAATTGTCATGTTAATATAATAAAACATATTACTTATTTTGAAAAGTAAGTAATTAATTTAGTTTTAATCAACAAAAAGTTGATTTTAAATTGTATTTAAACCATTTTATTTAAAAAAAAACAAGAAAGGAAGCTACCTTCGGCCAGCCGAAGCTTATATACCCTTGCAGATAAAGTAATACTCACTCGTTGCAGGTCCAGGGATTCCAGATTCATCGTTTCTATTTTTGAATTTTGTTTTTAAGTAGTCAAGAATTAAAACGCCTACTTCCTACAAAGTAACAATGAATTTTCTTAGATATGTTTGAATATTCCTATGGGAGCCTTAAGATATAGTGGTCCGATCCGGCTGGCTCCGACATATGTACTACCTGCAATAGAAAGAAGACTTTCGGGAAAGTTTCATCGCGATAGCTTTAAAACTGAGAGACTAGTTCGCATAGAAACGGACAGACGGACAGACGGACAGACGGACATAGCTAGATAGACTCGGCTATTGGTGCTGATCAAGAATATATATACTTTATGTGGTCGGAAACGTCTCCTTCACTGCGTTGCAAACATCTGACTGAAATTATAATACCCTCTACAAGGGTATAAAAATTAAATTGAATAATGAACACATTTATAATATTAAAAATTAATTATTTTAAAAATAAAATGAATTCCTTGCACTGAGTGTGTAAGCACATAAAAACATACTCACAATATTAAATTACTGCCATTCACGTACGTGTTTATCAATCTGTATCCGTTTCCAGGCCAAGACAGTGGCACACATGGCGCATACTTAATATCAGTTAGTGGCACGTTCAATGCCAAAAAGCAGAGCACCAAATTGCACCTCCCAGCCCTCGAAATGGTCAACAAATCATTAACCTTACCACCTCCCTTCCCATTTCCCTGCTGGAAAGTCAAATAGAAGTTAAACCCAACAGCGATTAAGACATTTAAGTACACGAAAAACTGGGGTGAGCTGAGCTCGCTTCTAGCACCTCTATAATTTGACGAAATGGAAACTCGGGGGAGTGAATCGAGCGAAATAATAAGGACCCCGCGATCGTCGTTTGTCGCGCGTGCTGAAGTTTCCAGAATGCGGCAGGCACTACACTTCCGCTAAATGTCGCTATTATTTAACAATTTTGTTTATGTATGCCTTTCATGCAGAGACCAGGTAGACCGGGCACCCCCATTGCAATGTGGAGTATAATTTATGGTTACTCTGATTCCCCCAGCGCCGTTGGGCAAACTAAATTGTCGCCCTCGACAGCGGCAACTGGAAAAATATGAAAGAAAACAATTACAGCTGACTTAACACTTCCGTTACTTGTTACAAAAGCCGCACACGTTCACCTACACCAATTCACCTGACCACCCAGCTCTCCACATGCCCACCTGTCCAACTGGGCAGCAGTAGAAGACACAGGTATGTAGCTGCGTGGGCGACAGCAACGCACTTTCCTTCAAGCACTTGAAATTGTAATTTAACACGTACAAGAAGTACGCTCTTTTGAGGGGTTTGCTAGCTGGAAGCTTGTAACATGACCTGCTTTAACAAATGGAGGGATTTTTCGGAACCCTTTTTTATTATAGGGATTTCTAAGTATAAGGATTTCTAAAGAACTTTGAATTTATGTCTATAGCAGACTGAAATATAATTCAATTTGTTTAAATTTAAGAGTAAATTTAAAAATAGTAAATATTTATTTTCAAACTTGTTGCTTAGTTTGCTTTAAAATGTTAAGTAATACTAAAATATTTTGTTACTAATAAAAGCCATTTGGTTTTGTAATTATATTAACATTTTATTAAGTTTTTCGTTCATGTAAATCATATTGAAATTTAGTCCACATGCACTAAATTCAAGAAAAACAAAAAATTGGTATCCAAAAATAGTGATTTGTAAAGCACCCTAACGAAATCGTTTGATCGTACATAATATACATTCGTGCGCTTAAAACTAAAAGTTTTACATTGCTTCCGAACGATGAGTTATCGGTAATATGTGTATAAAAATTGTTTATCGATATATTTGTTTTGGATAACGATAACCATTCGATTTGTTCATCATACAGAGGCACTAAAGCTTATTGATTCAATGATTCTTTCGTCTTCAAAGAACCAAACTATCCTTCAACATATTCGATTTGTGCTTAAGTACTTAAATGCTAAACATATAATGCAGTGGGAGAAATAAATAGTAATGTTAGACCTGTTTTGGTATAGAATTTCATTGAGACACTAGATCTATAGACCATTTTCATCAGATTCTTTGGAGATGTGGACGTATATAAATAAGAGATGTCAGATAAATAGGCGGGGCAGGAAATATGTTTCGAGTTATCGTGTGGTGAGATAAATACTCATGAGTCTTTGAGTAATTCGCAAGATACAATTCTTAGAAATGCGCAAGATTTGGAAGTCTGGGTAAAATACATTTGATAATCGAGCTTAACCGAAAACAGACTTGGTAACATTAAATTCTTGTGATTGTAGAAAATAAGTTATTAAGAAAAAATTTGTTTTTACCTAAATAATTGTTTATGCAATTTCATATATTCATTTTCAACTAATTTAGAATTTGTTCGGATATAATTTGTATACATAGTTAAATTGCTTTTTTGCCTAAATTCCAAATAAATTTCGCCTGCTATTCTATCTACTTCGCTTCAACAAGCTAACTATTTCATAGACCTTCATTTTCTGGCTAAGGATACAATTATGTGGTTATAAGCTCAAATTCTAATTTAAGTGGACAAGGCAAATAAAGTTGATCTGTTTATTGTCAGATATATAAATATTATTGTAATTTGTGCAACGTTTACTAAATAGAATCCGAATTGTTTGTGATGAAATAAACAATAAAAATATTTTATTGACTTTAGAAAAAAATAAACAGTTCTAAAAAAAAAATGTCTACTAGTTTTTAACCATTTTAATATTTTAATTTGTCGAAAAAAATAGTAAGCAATTAATATCAGAATGAGAATGTTCTACCAAGTTTATGAAACCATTTGCCTTATCCAAACCTAACTTAAAAATTCAGTGCATAAAAAGGTGTAAATGAAAATGTTCATTAGAATATAACTTTTAGATTAAAGATTATATCCGAATCGAACTAATTTATGTAGTCACACTGTGCGCTTGATTTGTGCACAAATTGCATAGGTTTGTGTTCGAAGCGTAGGCGGTCTAAGATATATTCGATATTAAGATACTCTATAAGACTATAAAGTAAACCTGAAGCTCTATGTCTAGGCAAAGCTTGGACGTAACTGGGTGGCTGCTCAGGACTGTCTATCACTCCTTACTTGGGAGTTCCGGGAGGGGCGTTGGCCAAGCCAAAGAGCTCTTCATAGGAAGGTGCTGAAAAATGTACATTTTATATGCCTATTAATTTCAGGAAGATATTAACAAAACCCCAAGCTTCAAAATGATAAATTTTGTTGTATATAAAAATATATATCTTTGCTACTTACGCAGCTCATGGGCTCCCGGCGCCTGGCGCGGCTGAAGGAACGAGGCCGAGGCCGAGGTGGATGGCAGTTGGCTGTAGCCCGGTGCTCCTCCACCTCCTGCTCCATTGGCCGAGGGTGGAGCGGCGGAGGCCAATCCAGTTGGCGGTGGTGTCAGGGCAAGGAGCGAGTACTGTGGCGACTCCGGCAGCGGATAGGCGGGCAGGTGGGGTGGCGGATATGACTGCACCATCAACGGACTCGACGAGTAGGGCATGTAGGGCACGTTGGAGCTGCGCAAGCTGGCCCTGGCCGAGGGACTGCCGTACTGAGAAGACTGAGAGCCCGAAGTGTAGGACAGTTCCATGCCACCGGCTCCACCGCCGCCGCCCACAGCGGGACTCAGAGTGGCCGCCGAGGAGTCCGAGGTGATCGAGTTGATGGAGCTGCACTCGCTGAACTGCGAGGAGTGCGAGGGCGAGCCAATGGAGGAGTCCAGCGAGGGGTAGACCGGCAGGGCGGGCTCGAAGGGATTGCCGGAGCCCGCATCCGGACCGGGTGGCCCGTCATTTGGCCGCGGTGGCGGCGGCGGACGCAGCGAACTCAGCCTATTCGACGTATCCTGCGAATACACCTTGAAGGGAAGATTTAGGATCAAATTCTTGAAGAATCCCCGCAGCACAGCCTCCACACGCAGCTCGTAGACGATCGTGATTACGCCGCTCATCTGCTCATCCGTGGGCTGAGCTCCTTCGGGCAACAGAAGCTCGTGGGCAAAGCTGCGCTCGGTCTTCTTTTGCACCGAACCCGTCTCCTTGGTGGCCACCGCGATGCACTCCACCTTCTGCACCCGCAGCGGCACATGGCTGTAGTAGGTGACGTACTGCAGCACACTGAAGCGCAGCTTCTCCACGGCGGTCGTGCTGTTGTTGATCACAGTGGCGCAAATCCTCAGCGGTTCGCCTCGCACCGCAAAGTCCTCGGGCAGAAGGGCCAGCAAGGTGATGGGCCGTGTGCCAAACAAACTGATCGTCTTGGTCACCTGCTTTTCCAGCGAACTGGGAATTGTGCGCTGCGATGGCTGCAGCGGCATGTTCTTCACCACGGTAAATGGAATCGTGTGCCGCTCATCGAAGGTCCACGGCCGCTGGATGAGCACGCGCATCTTGTACTTGATGCCGCCATAGCTGCCCTTGAAGCTCGACGGGAGTTGGCGACCCAGCGCCACCTCGAAGATGAACGTGTGCTCGCCGGGCGAGAGTTCCAGGCCGCGCGGCTCGAAGTCCGGCAGCGGAGTTTCGCTGTGCTCGTACACCTCCTTGCTCGTGTAGAACAGGCTGCGGGAGTACTCGTTGTTGTTCGAGTTCTTGCGCAGGATCTCCATCCACTTGCACTTGCCTTTGCCGGTGACCTGCACCTTGATCGCTGAAATTAAAGGAAATTCAGACATGAATCAAGGTGAAAATAAAGAAAGGACTACACAGAGAAAATTATCAAAAGTTTTAGGTGCAAAATAAGGGGTAAAACATTTTAAAAAGTAAAACGTTTTATACAAATTTATTTTACTTTGCATTTTTAAAACGTTTTCATTTTTATTTTTAAAACATTTTTATATGAAAACGGCACCTAAAAAGTTGCATAATTTTCTCTGTGTAAGGGATAGTGGAGATAAAAGTTACTGGTTGTTTAAAAAGTTATATAGTTTTGTTCAGAAAAGTAGCTAAGTATTTTGTCATTATCATTTCACCCAAACTTGATTAAAAAATATGCTAAATTCTTATATATTTCGATTTCTAATACATTTTCAAATATATTAAGTTTTCAAATTGTCGAAAACCGTTAAAATCGTATTTCCGTTAGCAGAGTTAACCACCCGCGTTGCCAACTGTTTTACTTAGCTAGTGCACACACCATAGCAGGGCTGCCATCTTTTTAAAAATAATCGATTACTCGATTATGCTCTAAGCATCGTCATGTGGCAAGGCCAAAATTCAATTTTTTATCGATGTATTGCCATTTTACACATTTTTCACATCGCTAGCAGCAGCCCAATACGAAATTACTTTTTTTCCAGCGGCTAATTCATGTGAAAATACAATTAATTGTGTAGAAATTAAGTTTAATCACAAGGTCCAACTACACTACTCGATTTAAGTGTGTGAATAGCGGGCTTGGAGCTAAATTCAACGCAGACCGGCGGCGATATTTTCACGCCCGACTAAATCAAGTGTGGGCTTTTCTCCGCCCGTCCCCTTTGCCCTTTTTGAAGCGGGGTCACAACTTCAAATGGTTTAAGAAGGAAAGCCACAAAGATGAACTTCGAGTACATTGGCCATGCCCTGGGCTACCATGGACAGCCGCTGCAGAAGATCTGGGACGACGAGCGGGGCGTGGACGATCTGCGGTTGATGGGCCTCACCCAGGTGAACTATGGGGTCTACCAGGAGCGCCAGAAGTTTTTCACCTTCCAGGAGCGGGCCAAGCGGCTCAAGATGCACCAGTTTCTGGCGCGGAAGGCCACCGATCTGTACGATCGCACGCTGGCTGCGAATGTTATGGAGGATTCGCTGTTGTCCCAAGGTGGGTTTTTATAATCTTTGATTTTAGATGGTAATAAATCTATGGAATACCATCTATAGGCAACTCCTATATGGCCCAAATGCCGCCCTACGAGTTCTTTCTCAATGTCAAGGACAAACGCAAGGGGTGGGCCCACCGCCTGGGTGCCCTAAAGCAGGGCGACATCATCTACACCCAGGTGACGAGGCTCCTCAATGGCAACCGACTCATGGTAAAGCCACTCTGCACTGCCGAACCCAAGCACACTTACCTGGCCGACATGCCCATTAAGGTAAAATACTTGATTCCTTGGTATTCAAACCCCATCCTAACCCCTATATCTTTATAGGCCATGATCCTGCAGGACTACTGGGGTCCCCTGCCCCTGGACAAGTTGGGCAATCCGCGTAGCTTTGCCCCCAACGATATTTTGCGCTGCGAGATTAACAACATATCCGCGGATACCGAGCGTCTCACTCTGAACATGATTGGCATGTTCAACCAACCGCCGGAATTGAAGTTTGGTCTCTGCGACCTCAACGAGTTGCCCAAGTATTATCGGTAAAAGCAAAGGGAGTTTAATCTTTCAATAGATTTTAATGAGTCACAAAAACCCTGCTAAAACAACGCCTTTTCTGCAGTAAAATCCACAACCTAGAGCATCCCTCTGCCACGCACTACGAGGACGATTTAAACGCCGCCTTGGAGTTTGAAAATCCCAACTACGATTTGCTCTTCCAGATGAACGGCCTGCAGCCCAACGAGAATCTCTCGCTAATGGGCCATTTGAGGGCGGGATTCCCGGAGGCGGAGAACGCCGCGGAGCTGCGCCAGAAGCAGGCCTCCCAGTGGGCCTTCCGGTAAGTTTAGCTTGTGACTTGAGTTTCGAGAGTGTATGTCATTCCATCCATTCGCACACCCTTTCGCATCCGACACCTTCATTGATTGGCCGCCGTTCAGCTCCGTGGCTGATGGCATCGAGCACTTTAAGAACGGCCAGCAGGTCGAGGCCTTTCAGTGCCTAAACAAGGCTCTGAACATTGATCCGCGCAATGTTGAGGGTCTGGTGGCACGCGGTGCCCTCTACGCGAACCGCGGCAGCTTCCTAAAGGGGCTGCAGGACTTTGAAAAGGCCCTGCACCTGAACAAGTACCACGTGAACGCGCGCAAGTACATGGGCGAAACGCTAGTGGCTCTGGGTCGTAGCTATGAGGAGGAGAACCGCCTACCCGAGGCGGTCAAGGCCTACAGCGACTGCCTGAATCTGCTGCCGCAGCACGAGGAGGCGCGCCAGTCCCTGGACGCACTGCAGCGGAGTGGAGACGGTAAGCATAGAATAAACAACGAGTTGATCAACCTGACCGGTGGCGCCTCCTCGGACGAGTCGACCTCATCGAGTGCCAGTGAAAGTGAAAACGAAGAACAGGGTGAGTACATCTAGGGTTGAGTTTATCTAAGCAACCAATAACCTATTCCAAATTTTAGCTGGAAAGGCCAAGACCAACATCAGTCAGCCCTTCTATGCACAGGGATCGCTTCAACCGCCGGGGGCGGAGAAGTTGGCCGTCATCGATGCCCAAAAGGCCAACGAGTTCAGGCTGGACGACGACGAGACCATGTCGAGTGTAAGGAAGCTTCTGCGCGAGGCTAGCAAGCACAAGAAGGCCAAGAAGAAGGGCAAGAAGAAAAAGGACAAGAAGGAGAGGAGGCGCTCGAGGACCAAGTCGGAGGATCCCATGGAGTTGCTCAAGAAGATCGACTTCCAGGAGGCCTTCAGGTGAGTTTTGCAGCAAAAGATGCTCCTTGCACAATAAATATACATTCTCTTGAGATCTCCCTGCCTAACAACCCATTGTGATAGACAAGACAAGTATGTAACCAAGTGGTATGTGCATTTCAAATGAAGCTTTATATTTCACTTGCGGTGCAGATACAGTTGAATATCTATAGAAAACGGATTTATTACCTCAGCTTTGTGTTGCTTTTAGGCTGATGAGCAGCGCCAGCAATGAGACGGAACTGAAGGCAAAGATCCGGAGCTACCTAAAGGAAGGAGGAGACTCACCGCCTCCCCCACCGCCGATGAAAAAGACAACAGCTGCTGCTGCGGCGCCAGCTAAAAGATCCAACTTTGACACCATGGGACCCAGTACATCGCGACACGCTGCCGCTGTCATTGGTTTCGGAGGCGACCATCCGCCGCCGGCGCCCAAGTATCAGGAGCAAAAGAAGCCACCGGAGCCGGCGCCCAAGCTCTCTTTTCAGATCAAGAAGCGACCGCTGCAGATGGACAAGCTGGGAATGCTGCGCCTGGCGGCGCCAGCGGAACCGCTACGCAGGAGCAGCAGCTCGCGCAGCCGGAGTAGGAGTCGCTCGCGTAGCCGCTCGCATTATCGTCGACGCGGCAGGAGTTCGCATTCGCGTTCGCGTCAGAGGAGCCGGCGTCGCGACTCGCGTTCCGACTCCAGATCCAGGTCGAGAAGCAGGTCGAGATCACGGCGCCGTCGCAGCTATTCGCGTTCTCGCAGCCCTTCGCCACGACGCTATGGCAATCGCTTTGTGGTCGGCCGCTATCGGAACCGCCGAGAACGCCGCTCGCGATCCTTTCACCGCCGGAGGACTCCGTCGCCTTTTGTGCCAAGGCGCTCGCCCTCGCGTCGGACTCCTTCGCCCTTTGTGCCACGTCGCACGCCATCGCCATCGGACCGCTTTCGACGCTCGCGGAGCCGCTCCCGCAGTCGCTCGCGTTCTCGCAGCATCAGTCCGTATCGCCCGTCACGCTACCCGCCCAGGGGTAGGGGCCGTGGTCGCGGCATCGTGAATCGGGGAAGGTTCTCCTGGTACAATCATGATACACGCAGCGTTTCGCGCGCCGTGGAGCCGCCAAACGGCAAGGATGACAAGATTACCACGGCAGCTCCGCCAGAGAAAGATGCAGGTGCAGGTGAAAAACCAGTGACCAATGCCGAACCCACCGTCGAGCAGGTGGATGAAATGATCAAGGAGGCCCAGAAGGAGCGCAAGCAGATCCTCATCGAGGCCACCAAGGAGGTCAAGGACTAGAGTCCTCGATGCTCGCACACGTACTACGAGTGTTAAGTTTCCTCTTAGCTGATAACGAACATTTCATTTTGATATGCAAACTTGTAAAACGCTCCCTGGCGAAAAGTTCTCTGATCACTAAATAAAGAAGCTTACAAAGCTAGATTCGGCATGACTTGCGTGCAAAAATCAAGTTCGGTGTTATATTTGTACATTTATCCAAAAAAAAATTCCTTACGGTTTTTGTTTTAGTGAAGATGAATTTTTTAGGTAAAACGTTCTCATCGGTAAGTTATAAATGAGTCAACACTATTTCAAATAATCTGAAAGTTTGCTCTTTTGTCAAGATGATTGACTCAATATAGAAGATTTAAAAAATACATATACCCAGGAGATCCCTAAAAAAAATATATATATATTTGGAACAAATATTTTAAAATTTTAAGATTTTTTAAGATGTCCAGAAAAAAAACAAGTATTAAGTAAGTATGATGACTTTCTTTACTGCTAATCCTTCAAAGCTTTAGTCGTAAAACATTTTCGAGAAACTCTGAATATTTTAAATACAAAATAATTTTCTATTACATTTTCTCAGTTTTGTTCTTTTTTACTTATTTTTTTGCAAAACATAATTTAATTTTAACAATATTTTATTCCAAAAACTATCACTAATGTATGGGAATCAAAAACCTTTGCAAAATATATCACTTTATTGTTATCAGCTAAACCTAACAAGGTAAAATTAGTTTCGTAATTTTTTTATTTCAGATATTATACATTTTGCATATGAAGGAATCTAAATTAAAGTCCAAACTGCAGTTATTCCCAATGGGCGCCCAGTGAGAGAGAGTGAGAAAGAGCGAGGGCCCCAAAAGCAGAGAGCGGATTGCCCGGCGAGCGAGAGAGACAGCGTGTCTATCCCCCACCACCCCCCTTATCAACCATTGACACTGCACTTTTGCGCGAGAGAGCAAAGGAGTAAAAAAGAGAGGGCGAACAACCGGCTGTTAGTTTGGGGCCGTGAGCGAAGGAAAGAGAGAGAGAGAGAAAGGGAAGCCTGGAAGCTAAACAACAAGAGGCAAACCAAACACACACGAAAGATAACGACTTGTTTCATTTGATATTCGCCAGCCGGCAGCAGCGGAACAAAAAAAAAAGTAGGAAAACACAAATCGGACGCCGCAGCTGCGGACACCAAATTAGAATACTAACGGCGACAAGTTATCGCACAATTAGTACGCGGGCGAGAATTGCTACCGAGATACGTCGGCGGACACCCGAAAATTTCCCAAAAACCAAAGTGCCGTGTAAGTGCGAAAGGAGGTGATTCTACGAGCTGCTAATTTACATAACAACAAACATAAGCCAGTAAAAGTGCAGGGCCAAAGTGAAGTGCAGAAATGCAGAATTGCAGAAAAACCACAAACTACACAACACGCGCGACATTGAACCTATTCTATAATTTTCCGTGCGGACTTTGGACGATAAGCGGGTGACAACAACAATATCTGGTTATACGAAGACAAAGAACATAAGGCTGAAAAGCCACGCTTGTTTGCTGTTGTTGTTGTCTTGCCGCTCTCGGTCGTGAGTGCGCTACACTTGTTGCCATGCGGCATATTGATTTACGGTTTCATCAGCTGACAAGTGCTATATCTTTTATTGCAGTGTGCTCTCACACATTTCGAATGGAATCTTTCGTTCGATTCCGTGATTAGTCATAAAATACATTAGCCAAATAGCGAAAACTATAACCTTCATCACCTTTGTATCAAACAATTGTAGCGTGCTTGATAATCTAATCGCGCCATAAAGATAGTCGATTGTGGTCAACAGCATGATTTGGTTTGGACCTATTTTTGGTGCGAGGCGTGATTATCAGTTATTCACCCTACATAATTGTAATATTTTTTTCCAGAACTTTTTAAAATTTAATTTTAAACTTGTCTGTTTAGTAACTCTGTATTTTCTATCTTGCAGCTCAAAAGAGGTAGTGGAAATAGAGCTTAAACATGTATACAAAAATCTTTCGCGCTGTGATAATCGGAGCCCCCGGCTCGGGAAAGGGAACCATTTCGGAGCTGATTTGCAAGAACCATGGATGCGTCCACATCTCTACGGGTGACATTCTACGCCAGAACATCTTGAAGAACACGGAGCTGGGCAGAAAGGCCAAGCAATTTATCGCTGACGGTAAGCTGGTGCCGGATTCGATCGTGACCAAGACTATGTTGGCCCGGATAACCGAGGTGGGCAACAGGTCGTACATCCTGGACGGATTCCCGCGCAACATCGCTCAGGCTGAGGCGCTGGAAGCCCGCGAGCAGATCGATGCCGTGATCACGCTGGACATTCCACACGATGTGATCATCGATCGGGTCAAGCACCGCTGGATTCATGCACCCTCCGGCAGGGTGTACAACATAGGATTTCAAGATCCCAAAGTGCCTGGCAGAGACGATGTTACGGGAGAGCCGCTGACGCAGCGCGAGGACGACAAACCACATGTGGTGGCCAGGCGGCTGGAGCTCTACGATGAACTAATGAGTCCAGTGATAGCCTGGTACGCCAAGAAGGGCTTGGTTGCCACTTTTAAGGGTCAAAAGACCAAGGAGATCTGGCCACGGATGGAGCTCTTCCTCAGGGACCGTATGAACGCGTAATGGGACCACCCGGACTTTCATCCATTGTGCACAAACTAACGATAAACTGCTGTGTTCAATTAAGTGCATAAACATATTTAGATATATATAATTGAGTACGTATGTAATATGTATGTTTGTGAGCCGGGTCGGAGATATGTAATTAATGTAATTGCGAAGCCTTACGATGTGCCAGCTGTCGTCATGTATTCCTTATTGCCTCACAACGCATTCCCCTCATGAAAATGTCTTGCAGCTCCCCCTTTTTGTTTAAGCATATTTTTGTACTTGTAGTCTGTGCTCTGATAATAAATCGCGTTTGTTATATTTGCGCTGATAACGTAACGACCGACTTTGACTTTGGGGCAGTTAACGGACAGCCTTCCATCTATTCTTAGCCCTCAGTCCACAAAACACTTGGTCCGACGCGCGAAGTCAACATTTATGGCTTCACCTGATGTCACCCAAATGCCCTCCGTTTTATCGCGTAGCGCATTAAAACCCGAAAGATGCGGGATAGTGTGGCGCTCCCATTTACTCCCGGCTCTCACGCACACATGCAGCGGACCAGCTGCTGAAAAGTTCTCACGCACACCTGCACAGTAGCAAATCACAACAGAGAGGCGCTTGAACTACAGTGCAGGGTCGCGCAATTGGGCCAGGTTTCAATGTTTTTTTAATTTCGTGAAGCTTTTTAAAGGAAATTAAAAAAAATGTTTTTTTTTGTAAGCCCAAGATGTTTTCTTTCTCATTTTATCGCGTTCTCCATGTTTTTTTAATCTTCAAATTAGGGAAACAACTGTTTACAAAAATCTTGTAACTTTTGCAAATATATTTAATGTTATGTAGAATACTAAAAATTTAAAATATTTTTAAAACATCTTTAAATAATAATGATTTCTTTTCTGACCTCCACTGTGCTGAGAGCGCTCTCTCACCTTTCTTACTCTCTTAGACCTGACTTTGCGCTTGGCCCCATATTACGGCAATTTCGGCACGCCATCAGAGTGCGCCACTCCTCGCACACAACCCCCACCCTCTTGCCCTCCCGCTCGCACCCGTGCGTTGCGTTTGGCTTGGCATTTCCTGAAACAAATGCCAGTGCTCAAGAAGAACGAAGAGCAAATTCAATTGCAATGGCAATTGTACAGGCGGCTATTGAATGCTTATCGATGAATGAAAGGCGAGTGCAGAAGGCAATTGGAGGAATTTGCGAGCAAGAATCTCGGCATTACGGGAAAGGGGTGGGGAGGAGGGGTAGCCCCATAAAATGGCCGCTGTGCTTTGTTAACTGATGGAGTTCTTTGTTTATGCGAATGGGGCCGCAACGAAAGTCCAGCTGGCCATTGGGCAAACAATGGGTTAAAAACCGCTGACAAAACAGAAAAAAATTGTTTTGATTAAATTTGATTAGTAATGTTAGAATGTACTGAACACTGCATTTGTTTACATTAAATGGTTAACAATCCAAATATCACCTTTCCCTTGATCATAAAATTGATAATCTTCTATTACAAATTAGCCATTTAAAAAAGAAATTCGGGAATCCTTAGCAGGATCCAAAATCATTCGTATTTAGATTCTAAACTTTTCTTTGATTAAATTAATTTTCAATAGTTTTGTCACATATTATTTTCTTTCTGTGCCTGCGATGGCGGCTACCTGAGTCACGGATGATGCAAGCCGGGCTTTGAGATGGCGCTTCCAGGAAAAGTAAAGCTATGCACGACTGGCACTTACCGCGTATTTTGGTGCGCTTGCTTAGGTTCATCCAGATCTCCCCTCGAATTATGTCGCCCGCAAAGTAAACCCGATCCGCGCTGTCCAGCGTGATTCGCAACCGCTCGCTCTCCATTCTGCTGCCGCCGCTGCTGATGACTCCTCCAAGCACTTATCCAAAAATAATTTCGTCATCAAAATGCCGCCACATAGGAACGTTGATGCACTGCACCGCCGACCGCGCACCACCCTAAAATATATGCAGAATAGTAGCACCGCCACACGCACTCGACCACAACCACAGCGATTCACGATTTACGATTTACTTTTACTACACACACCGCGCGGGGAGTGGGAGCTTTTTCGCGCTGACTTTGGCCAATTCTTCGGCAATCTCGATATCTATCAATTTGCAATGACCCACAAGTGTTTGTCGCACACCCCGGGCTAATTTAATTCGATTGCTGCCGACCGCGGGCGGGTTGAATAATTATATTTCTTATAAATTTACGAGATCCCGAGAGTTACGCTTTTGTTGTAGTTGCAGCTCTCTTTCGATAACCCGGAGAGCGACGGTCCGATAGCGAATCAGCTGTTGCGCGGTGCTGCCACCTGACGGGTGGCCAGCCAAAGCGGTTATTTTGCAGAATTTTGAAATTATTAGGTGGTTGGCTTCATAAAAATATATTCTTTAAATATAAACTGCGAAGTGTTATAACAAGTCAGTTTTCGTGCTGAAAAGATACTGTGAATTTCTGTTATTACATCCGTAAGTTTATTAGTTTTATTTTCAGCACTTTATGTTTGAAAAAAAAATCTTTCTGGTATAATAAAAAAAAAAAGAAAAGAAGTTTTTCAACATTTTAATACTTACAATATATATTAAAAAATACTTTATAAAAAATCGCCTAATTTTTCGTTTTAGTTGCCACACTAATTCACAAACGCTCGACATCAAAACTTCATATAATTTTCCGTGTGCTTCTCCGTTTTGCCTCCACCTCTTTCCTCTCAAATACCCCCACACACGGAAAAATGCTTCCAAGTTCGCCGGTGGCTTTTGAGAAATCAGTATTAAGCCAGAGCTGCTCGCGTTCGGTGCTCGCGAGGTAAATTGCCTCTGACCCCGAACCCCCGGCCACCAGCCACTCCCAACAACTATCAATAAAACAAACAAACAAAGGAACTTGATATCCTGACACCGTCGCCAAGGAGCCAATTCTGGAGAAGATGAGCAGCAAGGTGACCTTTGCCTTCGACAGCAATCCCTTGGGGGTCTATCAAGCCGGTCAGCTCATTTCCGGGACCGCAGAACTGGTTACGGAGCGTCCAAAAACCATTCGATGTAAGTGAAAGACATGCGGAAGAATACGCAGTATTCTCATAGACTCGAAACCATGACGTCATGGCCCTCCATCCCCCATTCAAATTCAGATTCCCATACCATTCCCATCCACTTTCGTTGCGTAGTCGCGTCGTCATTAATATTGTTGGTGTATTGTTGTCCGAAGCTTTTGTTATTGTTGCCGGTAGATCTGTTTGGAAGATATATGTGTGTATATATTGTAGATTTTATATACAACACACATGTGGTCGGTTGGCTGGCTTCGGATATCTGATAGCGGCAGAAAAACTAGTTTTGTTTTGAAATTGCGTCTACGGTTTATATTATTAGACATTTGATTCAGTTTACTGGTCAGCACATTCGAGCCGATACCTTTGAATTTACAGAGAATTGGGCTAATAGATGTCGAAATGGATATATAAAAATCCCATTAGCAAGAAAAGTTTATTTGGTTAAATATCATAAATAACACCGTTAAATATCCATTACAATACAAACATTAACTTTGCAGAGCTGAAACCAATAAAAAATACAATACCTACAAAAAGTATTACTTTTAAAGGGTATAAAATAGTCGAACCTTATCAGAAGTTAGCGGTGAACTTAATTAGGTAGCATTCTGTTTTTTGTTATGCTTATGATTAAATTATTCTCGGAATTATTGTTAGTCAATTAACAAAATGCTTTTGTGAAGCCATTTTCCGATACAATACTACATCCGAAAAAACACAAAAGGCCCAAAGGTCAAATACAATTAAACTAAATGCATAATTGAATTACACGCCCGGCAGTAGAGTACAGATAAATTAAACCAATTGCAGCGATATATATAACCATAAATGGATACGGCGAGACGAGATGGCAGGAGAGTGAGGATCGGGTGGGCGAGGATGGGAAGACGACCAAGTCACTGGTGACCCACACCACCACCGAGGTGTACTATAGCACTGACCAGCCGGTTTACGGGCAGGCGGGCGGATCCCAGCTGGAACTGCCCACCGGCAAGTACGTCTTCCCCTTCCGGACGACCATTCCACCCAATGCACCCACTTCGTTCAATGGGGAACATGGTCAGATCAAGCATGAGGTCACCCTGACCATTGATCGCGCCGTGCGTTACAATAATACCTTTAAACAGTGCTTCTCTGTGATCCTGCCACACGATCTGAACAAGCGGCAGGAGTATAAGGTAGATAATTAAAATCCTTCGAAGATCAAAATTCTAACAAAGTAATTTTTCTCCTAGGAACCCTTAAAACGCCTGGAATCGAAAAGCTTCTGGTGGGGTTCCATTTTCGGTGCCCATAAGCCCATGATCATGGACGTGAGCACTTCGTATTCAGCCTATGTGCCCGGTCAGAAGATCCACTTTCATCTCGTGCTGGACAACCAGTCGGATGTGCAATGTATGGACGTGAAGGTGCGCCTGATCAAGAACGTTTCGTATCGGGCCAATTCTTCGGGGACAAAGGAGCAGCTCAAGGTCACCGAATCTCGGGTGGCGGACAAACATTGCGGTGAGGTGCTGAAGCACAACAAGGCCAAGTTCGATGAGTTTCTGGTGGTGCCGCCGACCACTCCATCGACCCAAAGCGAAAAGGATCCCATTCGAGTTAGCTATACACTGCGATTTATTGCCAAGACTTTCAAGCTTCATGGGGGTGGAGACTTGGTTATGGACTTTCCACTAACCATTGGCACTGTGCCGCTTTTGGGAAGTGCAGATGACAAGGGACCCGAGCAGGCGGAAAAGTCACCGTCTAGTGGAACCTCTCATCCAGGTGGGTTTAACCCTCAGTTGAAGATAGTGTAGAATATTATTAAAGGAGTATTTCCCCCGTTTAGGTTCTCCCAACTTCCAGGAAGACGTTAGTGAAGAGCAATTTGAGTCCAACACCTTTAAGCCAAGATATCCCGTCTATCCCTTTGATGGCAAGCCGGGAACTAATGGTTCATCTAATGGAGCAGCCAATTTCCCCAGTCTTTATCCCAAGGCGGACGATGCTGTGCCAGCAGCTCCTGTTAAATTTACCCCAAATCCAGTGCCTGCTGCTAGTGTTAAATTCACCCCGAATCCAGTGATTCCAGTGTCTCCAGCCGCGCAAAAATCGCCACCATATCCAACTAATACTCCTGCTGCTGCTGCTCCTTCTGGCGGCAATTTCGAGGTGCTTGGATTCAGCATACCACCTGATTATAAGCCCACGCCCAGTGCTCCTGCAGATGCTCCCACAGGTGGCATTGGGTGGAAATAGGGACCACTGCTTAACCACTTTGTATTCTAATTTTTAAGCCATTTTTAAATAAACACGAAAGCGCGCCCAAGTGGCAACGCTAGGCTCGTGACAGCTATCGATATAAAGCTGTCTTGAAAATAGCCAAATTTGGCTTTTTTTAAGGATCTATTAATTATTTTGATAAATTTATAAAGAAAATCATTTATTTAAAAACATAAAGCCATTTGAGCATAATAATAGTGATCTGGTGCCAGGGATTATGTATTTTATTCTTAAAACATTTACATTAAAAAATAAAGAGTTGTGATTATCTGAAAATGTTTTTTAAATCTCTTGGTAAAATTGAGGGGAATTACCTTTTTTTTGTAACTTCCAGTTTGTAGCTAGCTATCTGCTATTTTATAACTATTATCGTTAGCTACTTCCGATAGGTCCCCGACGATAGTTGGCTTCTCTACTGGGAAAGCTCATCTCCAGCGGCTCGAACAGCTGACTGCGTGCACTTGGCGACGTAACTTGGTTTGTTTTGTTGTTGTTGTTCCGGATTGGAGCAGAGCGGCTTGGCTTTGGTTTAGGTTTTTGGGAAAACCAGTTTTGTGGAAGTGGAAGCGGCCAACTTGAGCTTGGGCAGCAACTGCAACGGCATCGGCATCTCGGCGGCGATATTTCAAAGCTGGCGAAAAGAAAGTTTTGACGCAATCCACGGGCCGCTGCCTGTAATGAAGAAGCGTCGCCGCCGCAGTAACTGCTGCACTCTGCCCGCGAACGGACGCATCTGCTCCAGGTGAGGATCATCGTTTCTGACAATCAGCATCCCCAATCTCAAGCGCATTCCCCCGCCTGCCTTTGTTCCTCTTTATCTGGCCAGCAGCATCGGAATTTCGGAACTGGACAACAACGGTCGGCGAACAACAACGAGGCGCCGAACAACAAAAGCGGGAAAAAGTGAAATCGCTGATAAACCCGAATACCCCCAGACCATTGTCAATCAATGAATGGCCGCCTGAACCTGGAGTCTATCTTGGCAGCTCCGCGAATTGGCGCGCACTTGGGCATAGCTGAGATAATAGTGAAGTAATCGCAACGACATCCCCACGCTCCGCTGAGCATGACACTTGTAAGTGCCCCATCCTCCAAACTCACTCCTACTATTTCCTAATTCCTGTCTACGCATTTTTACACATCAATTTTGGCTATCGAGTTGATGAGTGTGTAAACAATTCGGAGTTTGCGCCCGGCCGCACCTCTAAAACGTTTTGAATGAAAGCTACAGGCGGTGTTCACTAAGTGCGATTTTCTAAAAGTCTTTATTCCAAGAAGTATATTTTATATTATATTAATATCTTCAATCTATCTCATTAATAACCAAGATAAATGTCTTTAAAAAGCACACGATCTAGGTGCTTATAAGATTGAAAGTCCCAGTCGAGGAATTCCTAATTTTTTCACACCCATGTTTTAACTTTAAAAATAGACAACCCATTAATTCCAAGTTTAACATACATCTCATAAATAACTAATCAATTGGCCTGACTTTAACCTCCCCCTATCAACAAAGTTTATTTTAAAGTTTTTGAGACTCAAAGACCAAGTTAACGGTTGCAGCTATTGAATTCCGACTGTAATAACGTTGTCTCCGCCTGTCTGGTTTTCTTTATTTTACAGAAATGCCATTGAAGAGTTGGTAGTAGCAATAAAAGTGAAATCCGCACGAGCAGACATACGCACACGAAAAGCGAAACCAAAGCAGCAGCACCGCAGCAGCAGACATGGCGGTGACCACAGGCTCTACGAGTGAGGCAACCACAACTACAGCTCCCGTTCCGCGACGAAAGCACAGCACGCGGGAGCAGCTCCATCAAATGCTGGCCGGCGGACTGTCGGCGGCCATCACCCGGTCCACCTGCCAACCGCTGGACGTGCTCAAGATCCGATTCCAGCTGCAGGTGGAGCCGCTGGGCAAAAGCCGCGCGAGGGAGGGCGCAGGAGCGCTCACCTCCAAGTACACATCCATCGGACAGGCGGTGAAGACAATCTACCGGGAGGAGGGACTGCTGGCCTTCTGGAAGGGACACAATCCCGCCCAGGTGCTGAGCATCATGTACGGCATTTGCCAGTTCTGGACGTACGAGCAGCTGAGCCTGAGGGCCAAACAGACGAGCTACCTGGCGGATCATCAGCATCTGTCGAACTTCTTGTGTGGCGCCGCGGCCGGAGGAGCAGCAGTGATCATATCCACGCCACTGGACGTCATCCGCACCCGGCTGATTGCCCAGGACACCAGCAAGGGATACAGGAACGCCACGAGAGCGGTGTCGGCGATTGTTCGGCACGAGGGCCCGAGGGGTATGTACCGCGGCCTGTCCTCCGCCCTGCTGCAGATAACCCCGCTGATGGGCACCAATTTCATGGCCTACCGCCTGTTCAGCGACTGGGCCTGCGCCTTCCTGGAGGTCAGCGATCGCAGCCAGCTGCCCACGTGGACGCTGCTCGGGCTGGGCGCCTCCTCGGGCATGCTCTCCAAGACGATCGTGTACCCCTTCGATCTGATCAAGAAGCGGCTGCAAATCCAGGGCTTCGAGTCGAACCGCCAGACCTTCGGACAGACGCTGCAGTGCCACGGAGTCTGGGACTGTGTGCGGCTGACCGTGCGCCAGGAGGGCGTTCGGGGCTTGTACAAGGGCGTGGCCCCCACGCTCCTCAAGTCAAGCATGACGACGGCCCTGTACTTTTGCATTTACGATAAGCTCAAGCAGGTGCGCTTCTAGGTCGGACTTGGAGTCGGGGTTAATGGTAATGGCGGTTCAAAAATCCATTGTCTGTGCTCCCAAACAGAATCTACACCGTATTTTCTATTTTTATATCTATTTACCGCACCGCGTAAATAATATTAAGACTTAGGCTAACTGTTGATTAGTTTTCGGTTATGCGTACGGGGTTCTGTTTATCTTCGGCCAATCGACTTGGTCAGCGCTTTATATATTATCGCGCCAGTTAAGTTATATAAATATGTATTGTATATGTTAGTTGGTAGTTTATTATCCCAGCAAAGGCGTCACTCAAACCTATATTTATGATTATCTTTTGCTAAATTTGCAAATGTAACTGGGCTGGCAGTCCCATTTGTTGTTTAATTATTTTTATTAAATCTAAATATTCAGGGAATTAAATAAAACTTGACTACATCACAAAGTTCAAAAGGTTTTTTTAATTAGTTAATAGGATAATATTAATCTGATTTAATATAAGAAAAAATTCAAAAACGGAAGTCGCTGCCAAAACGACTTGATATAAAAATCTAAACAAAAAAACAATAATTCGTAAAATCGTGATTTTTAAGAATTGGAACAATAGCGACCTTAAAACACCACTTTTTTTCTTCTACTACTTTTAAAGTTAAGTTTTCCTATTATAATTAATTAAAAAATGTTAAGGCAACAAATGTTAAATTCCAAACGTAAACAATGTTAAGTAAAGCTCACTTCTTTGAGCTTTTCCGTTGTGAAATTTACCGGGCAGTCATCAGTGTATAAAAAGAATTGTGCCTTTCGGAAAAAACAAGATAGTTACCAGATATCAAGCGTTGAAAAAATGGTTCTGGTGAGGAAAGTTTTGACCGACAATAACTCCATTCAATGGCTGTTATGGATGGAGAGGAGTAGTGAATCCCCGCCGGAGAGGTTTGCTTTCGATGGGCCACAGGTGGTGGCGTTTCACTTTCTTAACAACCGACACGGCGACAATCTGGGCAAATGGATAAAGCTGCTCGATGAGGTGGCAGAGGAGTACGCCGGTCGGATTTTGTTCGGCCTGCGGGACATTTCCAATATAGCAGAGTTCAATTCGAACCTAAATCCCGACGACTTTGGCACCTACCGGAAGGGATTGCCTCCGCGGATCTACGGCAAGGATTGCGAGGGCCGAGTCTACGATATGCACAAGCTGGTCAGCGCCAAGTACCTGAGGGAGTTCTGCGACCAGCTGCTGGAGGATCAGCTCTTCCGCGCCGTCGTTCTGGGCCCCACTCCCTCACAGGATTCCCCGCCGAGGAACTACTTTGAACTGCGGGAAGAGAGCAGCAGCGACATGCTGGTGATGCTCTATGACCCGGCCTGCTACTACTGGCCCTTCCAGAAGAGGAAGCTGCGCAAACTGGTGCGTCTCCTGGCCAGCGAGGACCTCCCAATTATGATCGTGGACAAGGCCAGCAACTATCTGGGCGTGGGCTTCACCCGCTGGCTGGAGATGGTCAACTGCCATGGCTCCACCATCTTTTCCTCGCCACGTCGCGATGGCTGGGACATCAAGGTGTCGGTTCGACATGAGAGCACACGTGGCTATCTGCGATACATTGCCCGGAATAGGCAACCCGAACTGATAGACTTCGATGCCGAGGGAGAGCAGAGAGCTCCGGAGGAGTCCCTGGAGTACATCCGATATTTGTTTTAGATCTCAACGATGGTGAGTGGCCATTTAAAAAATAAAATTATGGATTTTAAAGCCAAATTATTCTACGTTTCTATTGAAATATTTACACACACAAAAAGCATGTTCCCGTAAAATCGATATGGCCATGTAAATTTCAGATCATGCAAAACCCATATCGTTTTTACATGAAATACTCTTTTTGAGCAGTTCAAATTTATCTAGATAGTAGCTTTATATCAAATTAAAATTGATCTTAAATAATGTAAAATCGATCTACGTTTTAAATCTTATTTTTTTTGGGGGTGTACTTACTCTCAACTTACTTCTAAAATTAGAACAAGTCGATAACGCAGAATAAATAAAATTAAAGGCAAATCATTCTCGTTTCTAATGAAATATTTACACACAAAAAAGCACGTAAAATCGACCATGTAAATTTTATAACATGCAAAACCCATATCGTTTTTACATAAAATACTCTTTTCCACCAGGTCAAATTAACCTGGCCACATACCAAATTAAAATTGATCTTAAATAATGTAAAATCGATCTACGCTTCAGATTTTTTTTTCGGTGTACTTACTTTTAACTTACTTCTAAAAATAGAACAAGTCGATAACGCAGAAAGCTAGAAAATATTCCAAGACACCCAAAATATTCCAAATGTTTAAAGATAAGAGTGTATATTTAGAATTTGACTGGGTTGTTGGCGTCCCTCGGCTGGACATGGATCATGACCTTGATAGCGCCGCCTGTACCGCGGCGGGAGGTCTCGAACGCCTGAGCCGTATCCGAGATGTCGAAGTGGTGCGTCACTAGACGCTTCACGTTCACCTTGCCCGAGGCCACCAAAGCCAAAGCGGCGGCATAGCTGTGAATTGGGAGTAGTACTCAGCAGTGGTTCTGACCCCAGAGTCCCCCACAGATAACTTACTCGTTGCAGTAGCGGAAAACGCCACGGATGTCAATCTCACGGGCCAAGGCGTTGATCAGCGGCAGCTTGACCTCCGGAGCTCCCATGCCCACGACCACCACCACTCCGCCGGAGCGAGTGGCCTGAAAGGAAAGGTGTTACCTCCTGTTAAACCAGAGATTATGATCCACCTACGAAAATGGCCAGGCGGGCACTGCTCTCCGCTCCACAGCAATCGATGGCCTTGTCCGGAACCTCGCTCATCGTCTGGTGAACCACCTTCACGGTCTCCTCGGCGGACTGATCCCGCTGCAGCAGCAGGGTGTGCGTGGCGCCCAGCTCCTTGGCCACATCCAAACGCTGCTGCACCAAGTCGGTGATGAGGATCTCTGAAGCGCCCATGGCTTGTGCAGCCTAAATAGGATGTAAAGTGGGTAAGTGGGTTAAGTATTCTTATCCAGATAACATATTCATTTCTTTTCTTACCAGTAAAGTGACCAAACCAATTGGACCGGCGCCCAGGATGAGCACCTTGGAGCCCAGACCCACTCCTGCTCGACGGCAAGCGTGGACTCCTACGGACAGGGGTTCCAGCAGCGCTCCCTCCTCCATGCTGACGTGATCAGGCAGCTTGAAGCAAAAGTCGGCGGCATGTTTGTAGTACCTCGTCAGGTTGCCATCGTAGGGCGGCGTGGCGCAGAAGACCATTCCCGGGCACAGGTTGTACTGGCCCTGCTTGCAGTGGTCGCAGTAGCGACAGGGAACTCCCGGCTCGATGGCCACCCGGTCGCCCACCTTCAGGGTGGTCACCTTCTTGCCCAGCTTGGCCACCACTCCAGCGGCTTCGTGGCCAATGATCATCGGCTTGGTCAGCACAAAGTCCCCGATGCGACCGTGGGCCAGATAGTGTACGTCCGATCCACAGATGCCGACACTATCCATCGCCAGCAGAACCTCTGAGGAATTAAGAAGGTATTTTAGAATTACCGTGCTCTATCAAAAATATTATAAATAAGCTACGATTATACAAATATCGTATCATATATCATAAAGTAGCAAATTAAAATCTTAGTTGTAAATCAAGAGTATGAAATATAGTCCAATATTACCCAATCCACTAAATTTATCAATATTTATGATAAATTTGTTATTTTATTCTATCAGAAAAATGTATTAAATAGACCATAAATTGGGTATAAGTATTTATTAGTTGTTGTTATGATCCCCTTGTCACTTGCTATCAGAAGATATCTTTTTTTGATAACCAATAAATAAATAATATTTTTTGTACTGCAGATTTCTTTAACTGCAACTATAACGATTAAAAATAACAAAATATATTTTTTTTTTTTTTTTAAGTTTGTTTTTGAAACAATAAAACTATTTGTTAAGTGTAGGAATCGCTTACCATCATCGGCGATTTCCGGAATGGGGCGTTGCTCCTGCAGGAAGTAAATTAGTAATAGTAGTCGGCAAACAAATGCCTAATTTAGTTCCGGTTTTCACTCACCAGTCGCAGGTCCTCGATTCCGTGGAGAACCGCTGTTAAATTATCTGTAGCCATGATTTTTCTGTTCACCACTTTACGTCCGTTCGCTCAGAAAGCCGATTTAGAACTGAATTCAGTATCCGATCCGTTTGATATGCTGCGCTGGCAAGTCAGTTTTTTACACACATACAGAAGGTATATATTTAAATTTGCCTATTTATGCGTGTGTTTGTTTGCTCGACCGGAATACAGTTATAATCGGTTATATAGACAGTGATCTGTGAAAGTTAATAACGGTTATTATTTCACTTCATTTCTCGCTTAAGATATCTGCCAGAATATCGTAATTTATATCACTAGTGAGGTAGTTTATTGTAGTAATTATCAAGACAGACGAGCCCCTTTTAGTTCCTTTTATTTGCTCTCGCCTGTAATTTGTTGCTGCTCTCTCACTTACTTCATAAAACCCGAGAACAGCTGTTTTGTATTTACCCCCGGACTGTTGTTTACATATTTTGTGTGGGCGTCTCGCCGGCAAAAGTAAAAGTATAGAAAAAGCTCCCTCTCTCCCTCTACATACACTCAAAAAATGGTATACCACTTAAAAAATAGATAAAGATTTTGTAGTTTAAAAAAATTGAGCTTTGGGGCTATTTCTCGCGGTCTTATACATTTTTGATAATTTGATTTTTAAATTTAGAATGAAAAAAAACCAAATTTCGTTAATATGTAATAAAGAAGTTTATAAATTTCTTATATTTTATAAATAATTCCATTCTTTTGAGTGTACGCATACATGTGCCCAAAGCCGTTACGTTATCGCTTGATTTATAAGTTGGCGCTGCTCGTAGTTAATTGAAAAAGAAATATGTACATTTGCATACCTATGCAAATAAAATAATAAGTAGCAATTCGCATCGAAGAACGCAATAAGACTATCAGGTTTGTTTGTGTTTGCTATATAGTTTTATTGGCTTTATTTCTCTGGCTAATATATTCATTTCAATAAGTGTTTGATATTCGGGTTCTTAACATATAGAATTTCTATTTTAAAAACGTTTGCTTATATAAGTATGTATATATGTATATGTATGTGTGGCTTTGCTGCGGTTTTTATTGACGTAGAAATAAAAAATGTTTGCTTAAAACTAAGAAAAAGTTTCCATCACGTCAACTGCGCATTTAAGTTGGCTGCTTTTTTTGGTTGTAGTTCACTTTGAAGATAAATGCATAATCTGTAAATGCTATAAGTTTCATATACGGTTTCAAAATTTGGCGTTGAGTTAGAAAGGAAAGCAAAGTTTCAAGTTGCAGGCTAGTGCCCAAACTACAACAGTTAACTATTTAATTTATAACCCTGCAAAATGTCATCAAATGTTATTATAGTGGATGAATTGGAGTTTATAAAGTGGATAATATGGTCAAGTCAGAGATAGCAAATCAATATAGTAAAGGTTTTTTCAGATTGCAAGATTAGTTTGGATTGGTTTGGTAAAGGGGGTTTCCCCTAAAGCAGAAAAAATATACAACAATTATTGAGCAATTTTCTTTTCAAACATTTGCAAGGTTATATTAGTTTCGGAACTCCGAGAAGACTTCCTTGTGTATTTAGACGCTGTGCGAGTGTTAGATCTCTAGTAACTTATTGCTAGGCTCTCTAGGGCTTGGATTATGTCGTGTCTCCGATATCTATATAGTGTATTTCCGTTCTCTAAAGCTGCAATTGCAGACATACGATTATGTCAATGTGAAAGGAACAAATTTGGCCAAAGGAAACTTAATGTGACGATCTTACTCTTGCCTGTCGATTACGAATGCAAATGTAATTACGTTCTTTTTATATATCACACTTATGGTCGAAACGAAATGGGGGCCAGTCGTCCCCAGCCTACATGGAGAGTTCCTGGCGCGGTTTGTTGATGTGCAGCCGCTGGGGATCCTGCGGCGCCACACAAATGTCGGTAAGGATAACCACCTCGTAGGGACTGCAGTCGGGCATCCTCAGGAATCCGCACAGCCAGCCGTAGAATCCCTTCTCGATGTCCGTGATGTCGTTCACCCAGCTGCTGTACTGCAGACTCAGCTGCCTCAGTCCCGAGTAGAGACCCAATCCGAAGGTGCACAGGACGATGGCCAAAGGATAGGCCACGAAGAGCAGCGGCGTCACCAGGATCTTGTGCAGGTACGTCCGCTCCTCGCAGTAATAGTTGAACATATTGTACCAGGTGAGGGTGCCAATGTAGAAGGAGTACACCGCCGAGATGACGGTCACGAACGGCAGGCAGAGGAGCGAGATGAGCAGGATGTGGAGGCCGGTGCCACAGCTGCAGGTGCAGCACAGATTGCCGCCCTTCTGCGAATCGCTGGCCATCGCATGGGCATTCAGCTGCTCCAGCTCCTCCCGGCTGATGTTGATCTGCAGGTCCACCGACTGGCCCTTCTTGCGGCCCCTCTTGATGGTGCCCGTCATGGTCAGGTAGTTGCCGCCGCCTCCATCCTTGCGCGCCTGATAGCCGCGCTCCAGACTCTGGTCATAGTTGTTCAGCACACTCGTCTCCCCGGACTCCAGATCCTCGTAGTTGGCTATCTCCGGCGAGGAGCGCTGATTGCGACCCTGGCCACCGGGCAGATCGGACGTCCGGATGTTGACCCGCTTCTTGGAGGACGACCGGTTGCTCAGGCAATCCTGCGACTTGCTCAACTTGGCATCCAGACTGCTCTCCGAATAGCAGCAGCTGCTGGGCGTCACCGTGCTGCTCTCGTGACGCTGCGACGTGGACTTGGTGCCCTGCGATATGGACTCGAAGTTCTGCAGCTCGTTGAGATTGCTATTGGAACGTCCCGACTTCTGGCTGTGCTGCGTGGAACTGGCCGAGTGGGTACTGGCCAGAGTGTCGTGGGTACTGGGAACTCCCAGTTCTCCGGGCAGCTGTGGTAGCGGTTGCTTGTTTTTGATAATCAATTTGGACTTGCGGAGCTCCTCCTCGAGTCCCGGATTCGACGGCGACAATTTTGGGCGATTTTGCTAAGGGTAAAAACGTGGAAAAAGGTATTATTAATATTAGAAATACCCTCCAAAATCAACAGTGAACGGATCCTTGTGTCTCAGTAGATTTTATATAGTTATTATAAGTATTTATTTATTACATTCAAGCTTAGAAAATGGCATATTATTAAATTTCTTCCAATTTAACCTAAAGAATTCGCGTCTTTCAATTTTATGATTGAATGCAGTATGACCCTTACAAAATATGGTCAATCGATTAAGTTAACTTGGTCGATTCAAATCTCGAAAATTAACAAAATTCATTTCCATAAATCGCACTGTTGATTCCTTTGGGGTACAATATGGATCCACTTCTCACCTGCACACTGACGATGTGGTCCACATAGTTCTGCTTCTTGGCCTCCGACTTGGTTTGTTGACGTTTCCGGGGCGGAATGAAAACAGGGCGTTCCTTGCTGCCCGTGCTGGTATCGACGCCCAAGCCGCTTGAGCCCTTGCCCACCATTTTCCGGTTTTTCTACAAACTCTTGGCGCAAACAACTACATCACATGCCCCTAAAAACGACTAATTTTTTCGTCCTCCGTGACGTTACTTAACGCCCAGTAATGCAAAAAATGCACTTCCGGCCTTTGTCGCTTCGCGGCTGTGTTGTTATTGATTTTTCCTGCCTGGCTGGCACGTCCTTGTGCCGATTTTGCGTTCACTGGTGCTTTTTGGGGGCTACTGTTGTTGCATTTTGGGTTGGGCGGCAATGTTTACAAAAACTTGGCGCCTGCGCGGTTGCAAGTTTATCTTAAAAGTGCAGTTGTTTCGGTCGCGGCCACGGATAATTTTGAAAAAGAGGCCTAATAATTTAATAAATGCTCTTTTTTTCAATTAATACATTTATTTCTTTGGGTCGTAAGATCTTTATATTTTTGGATCCTATAACGGTTTTTGCGAATAACAGTCTTTTTTCACCCGAAACAGCTGACTTGTACAAAGCGAAGTTGGCTGCGCTTGAGTGTGACCATGGTGACCATGGTATGACCAATAAAGTTCAAATTTCTCCTGAGAGCGGTAAACTTTTAAATTTATTTTAAGAATTTATTTATTTATTGTATACTGTTACCGAAAGTTTAAACTTGGGGAACAGGAAAAGAATCGCCCATAGTTGCAATGACTTTCGGCCGTATTTCATAATTTAATTTTTTAAATATCATCAATATGTATAAGGCAAGTTTTATTAAAATTCTTAAAAATAAATTATACATATTTTTAAAATTTAAAAATAATAATAATTTTGTTACAATTTTCTCTGATTAATCTGATCCTCTAAAATTTAAAGATCCTTCAAATAAGTCAATTTATTCTAAATACACGATTAAGATATATTGCCGCATAAACGTTATATATTGTTCCTGCAATCAGATGAGCTTTTTGGGTTGTTTTCTCGATCGCCGTTTGGTCACTCTGCAGCCGCTGGATTTTCCTTTTTCCCGCCTCCCCTTCGTTATCGCCATTCGCTCTCCATTCGCCATTTCGATCTAGTCGCTAAACTTTCCACTAAACTACCAAGATGTCTGCTACCGAGGGGAAGGTGAGTGCAGCAGCAGCGGGAATATTAATTAGCAAAAACACTCCCTGGCTATCGAATTCCACAAACACAGGTAATCACATGCAAGGCTGCCGTGGCGTGGGAGGCCAAGAAGCCGCTGGTCATCGAGGACATCGAGGTGGCGCCGCCCAAGGCCCATGAGGTGTGTACATAGGTGGAAAAATCCACTCCAGATAATGCTGATAAGGCTAAATTATTGAAAATTCCCCCCAAAGGTTCGCATCAAGATCACGGCCACCGGCGTTTGCCACACAGATGCCTTCACCCTGAGCGGCGCCGATCCGGAGGGCCTGTTCCCCGTGGTCCTGGGCCACGAGGGCGCCGGCATCGTGGAGAGCGTCGGCGAGGGAGTGACCAACTTCAAGGCCGGCGACCATGTCATCGCCCTCTACATCCCGCAGTGCAACGAGTGCAAGTTCTGCAAGAGCGGCAAGACGAATCTCTGCCAGAAGATCCGACTCACCCAGGGCGCGGGAGTCATGCCCGAGGGCACCTCCCGTTTGAGCTGCAAGGGCCAGCAGCTCTTCCACTTCATGGGCACCTCCACTTTCGCTGAATACACTGTGGTGGCCGACATTTCGCTGACCAAGATCAACGAGAAGGCGCCACTGGAGAAGGTCTGCCTGCTGGGCTGCGGCATCTCCACGGGCTATGGAGCCGCTCTCAACACAGCCAAGGTGGGTTTGCTGTAGGAAACATCCAGATCATTGCGTTATTAATCCCTCTTTCCAGGTGGAACCTGGCAGTACCTGCGCTGTTTGGGGATTGGGAGCCGTCGGCCTCGCCGTGGGTTTGGGCTGCAAGAAGGCCGGCGCCGGCAAGATCTACGGCATTGACATTAATCCCGACAAGTTTGAGCTGGCCAAGAAGTTCGGCTTCACCGACTTTGTCAACCCCAAGGACGTGGCCGACAAGGGAGCCATCCAGAACTATCTGATCGACCTGACGGACGGCGGTTTCGACTACACCTTCGAGTGCATTGGCAATGTGAACACCATGCGCTCCGCCTTGGAGGCCACCCACAAGGGCTGGGGCACCTCGGTGGTGATTGGCGTGGCCGGCGCTGGCCAGGAGATCGCCACACGACCCTTCCAGCTGGTCGTGGGTCGCGTGTGGAAGGGCTCGGCCTTCGGTGGCTGGCGCTCCGTTTCGGATGTGCCCAAACTGGTGGAGGACTACCTGAAGAAGGATCTGCTGGTGGACGAGTTCATCACCCACGAGCTGCCGCTCTCGAAGATCAACGAGGCCTTTGACCTGATGCACAAGGGCGAGAGCATTCGCTCGATTATCAAGTACTAAAGATGAGATAGCGTGGAATCCGGGATGATTGTTTTATTTTCACTTTTTTATAACAGCTGGCAATTGCATGCGATTGCGTAGAATAATAAACCACCAGTGTATATGTAATACTATCTTCACAGGGGGTCTTACGTACATATTTACCCTGCATAACTGCTAGGCCTGCTTATCTGCCTTGGCCCACTGAGGCTATGGGGCTCAAAGTTCGACAACTTTGAATTGTTCGAGATTGCTACTAGTTTATATATAGTATTTCGCAACTTTGGAAAATATTGATAAAGCCAACTGATGACCCAAAGTAAACTCAAAACCGGACATCCTCTGAAATACATTTGCTGTGCTACTTAGCCGTGATTTGTTTGTTAGAACCGAACAAGTTTTGACAAACTAATTAGAGCGATAAGTTAGAAGTAAAACCAGATTAAAACCAAATAAAAAGTCATGGTTACACGTTTAGAATGTCTGTATTTGAATACGCACTACAACAAGGTTTGCAGACAAACTCGCGCGCAGATACTTAAAAATGCTAATAAGTCTAGTATGTTGTTGTGTTTAACAAACGTGCATGCAGTTTTGGTTTCGTCGTTAAATATAAATCTCATTTTAAATGCATATTCTTATGGAACTCGCTAGCTTATATACAAGTGTCTTTTAAATGGTACGATATTGCATATATATATTTTCGAGTAAAACGTTAGATTTGTTCGACTTTGCTTGTGACTAAGAATTACGCTGCCGTTAAAAAACATTCAGAGCTGCAATTTACGAATACATGCGAGTATAAATATGTTACTTAGGCCTAGACGAGTATAATACGATTGTAAGACTGTTTTTTCTTTTTGGGACATTAGAACTTGAATCGATCGAAAACACAGGAGATGGTGTAAAGGGAGCTATGGATTATTCTAGGAGTGGGCTTCGGTTTGAAACTATTTGAGCAGGGGCAGGACCAAAAGAGTCCCCCTCACATCCGCGAATTGTAGTACGGGTCGTCCTCGCAGGGCGGATATCCGTAAAGATACGGATGGTGGCATTGCACTCACGACCAGCGCGACTTCTGCAGGTCGATCTGTCCCTCGAGGGTTTTGGCCAGGTAGATGACGAACAGCTGCAGCAGGGCTATGCCCAGAGCAACGCCAGCAATCACATACAGATTCCGCTCAACCCAAACGCGCACGATCTCGATGCAGCCGCTGGTCCAGATGCGCTTGCTGGCGGCGGCCACCGAGTGCTCCTGCACGCCATATCCACACATGATGTTCACCAGGCCGGAACTGATGTCGGTGGCATTGATGCAGCAGCTGTAGGGCACGCCGCACTTCTCCACCGACGGCGAGGAGCAGTTGAAGTACTCGTTCTTGCCTGTGTGTTGGTGAAAGGGGAGATTAGATGATAAGGTTTAAGGCTTAATACCAGGGACCGTAAGTAATTGTTATTTGAGATTTTTATTTTAAAAAGCCTACTGAGATTTGTACACTTTTTAATCAACAATTTAACTAGTTTTTTGCTTTTATAGACATGAACAAACAACAGTTAATTTGCTTTCCAGATTTGTTGACATTAGAGCCCTGCATGAATGGATTTAATGAATTATTTTGAATTTTTTGGTTTAAGGGGCTGTCCATATATTACGTAATCACCTAGGGGGGGGAGGGGGTCATTGAAATGATTATGTTTGATTACATGGGGAGGGGGTGGGTCTTGCACAATGATTACGTAATCATTTTATATGTTTTTTTTATTTAAAGAATTTTTTTAAAACTTTTTTTCTTTAAATATATCTGCAAACTTAGATAGGAAAGCAGAGAAAAAATTTTTTTTTAGTGGCTGGGCGGCGAGAAAGAGAATGTTTAGTGGTTCAATCACACGAAGAATGCGAAGACCTGGAATGGCTTGACGAAGAGTATGTTGGAGATAATTTCAGCGTATACGAACCGAATGTGTCATACCAAACTCCATTTATAAACAATATTAAAGATTGGGTTGCATCTCTGTTTGAATCCACATATTAAAACAAAAAAAAATTTTATTCTTGGGATTACGTAATCATTGGGGGGGGGGGTATTTATTGAAAGATTACGTTTGATCACCAAGGGGGGGAGGGGGTCAAAAATCAGCAAAAACGTGATTACGTAATATATGGACAGCCCCTAATATGAAAGAATTAATTTGAATTTTGAGTTTAATAGAATTTAATGAATTTGAATTTTTAGTTTAATAGAATTGAATGAATGAATCATGCATTCCGAAATAATTCAAACCACAATTTCTTTTGAAGAAGAAAGGGCCATCATTTTGTGATTAAATTTGCCTGAATTTTATTTTCTGAGCAGTTAACATTGATTTGTTAAAAATATTCCACTTTTTGTTCTTAAAAGAAAGCACAAACAAATTTGGCAAATTCAAAAAATTTTATACAAATTACTGTTTCATTCATTTAATTTGAAATGAATTAGAAAAACATTCAATTTATTTCACATAGAATTGAATTAAACAAATCATAAATTTCATGGTATACTATGATAATACTTTGTGAACAAGAGTAAAAAGAACGTTATATTTGACGTTTAAAAAAAAAAAAATAAAATAAAATACAAATCTCAAATAGCGATAATTTACGGTCCCTGCTTAAGACTATACAAATTATAAACAAAACAAAAGAGTACTGGCTCTAAGAAACTCTTATTGTCAATATCTTAGAAAGGCTTAATTGCCAGTTTACTACTCACTCCAATCCTGGTAGCCGGCGTTGCTCAGGCCGCAGCACTTGAACTCCTGCTGGGCAAAGTCGATGAAGTTCTGCAGGTCGGAGTCGTCGCGGTACGAGTGGATGATCTTGTCGGTGAACTGGTACTCGAGGAACGAGTTCATGTACTGCGGGAACACGAAGCAGATGATGGCTAGCGTCATCTCGAGGATGAAGAAGAGGAGCAGGCACATGGAGTAGAGCTTCAGCAGCCAGGTGTTCTCGCGCAGGGCGCCCAGGCAGCCGGCGAAGCTGACCGTGAAGACGATGACCCCGGCTATGATCATGACCAGCGAGATGTTGAAGATCACATCGTAGACGGTGTCCAGCCGCAGCCAGCCATTGCCATCCTTCAGTTTGTCCATGAAGGCGTAGACGCCGATGGCCAGGAGCAGGCCACCAAAGAGCCAGAAGAGGAAGTTCAGCAGGAAGATCATGTACTTGACGCAGCTGGAGACGTAGCTAAAGTGGTGCGGGTAGGAGGAAATGCGGGGGTGCATGTAATTGCCCCCCTGATGGTATCTGTGGTTGCTCATGGCCTCGGTAGCGCTTTTCAGTCGAGTACTTGGCAGAGTATGACTTTTCCTGGTCTTTTTGTTCTGGTCTCCTCCCCCACGACTTTTTGTTGACGCCCTCTTTGCGTGTGGTCTTTTCTGCAGCCCGCTCGGGCGTTTAGCACATCCTACTGGCGGCGGCAATGGTTGGCTGACCAAAACTGGTGCTTCCCCGAAGGTGCTCTAGTTTTTTAACCCTTTTATCTTTAATTTCAATACTGATAAGCAATTTTATGGAGCCACAAAAAATAACAAAGTGCCTAGCGTTGCCAGACTGGCCGTCGAACTTTGCAGTGGTTGGCAATGCGGCGAGTCAGCTGGGTCCCAAGTGAGGCCGTACTGCAGTGGCCGAAAAATCCAAAGCTTTCATCTTCGCCGCGATTGGCAACGCGACTAGCCAGGTGTTTGATTTTTCGTGTGCAGCTGTTTTCCAAGCAGCTTTTTTGTATCATTTTTAATTTTCCACCGCCGCTGCGTAACATCGCGACGCACGCTTGTTTTCGTCAGCTTCGCTTGGCGCATTCATAAACAAAAGGCCAAAAATAGAAGCCAAGCAGCACCATTTCAGGCGCTATTCAGCAGGTGAGCAGTTTTCCAGGCGGGCGGGCAGGAAAAAACCAAGGACGCACCATTTTAGTGTGGGAAAATTAGTGTTTTTTTTTGTTCGCTGGTGACATTGACGAAGAATTGCGAGCGAATTTTCCTCAATTCGCTGAGACTTTCTCTCCAATGCGCTTTCTCCCCGTGTAACAGAAATCACAAAAACAGAAAAGCGAACGAAAATAGAACGGAAAACTAAGAAATAAAGACGGAAGTGGCAAGCGCGCATTGCATAAATATTAGTTGGCGTGGGCGCAGTAGACAAAACATTGACTTTCCACCGCTTTTCCTCTTATTTCGCTCGTGTTGATTAAATAACCAGGCGGTGCCAAGTGCAGTTGTCAACCGAAATTGGCCAAAAATGTTTGCACTTTCTCGCCACGCACTGCGGCGCACTCGATTTTTCGCAATTAACCGCTACTTTGCAGGTAAGAGTGACAGGTAAAAATAGAAAAACTAAAATACCTGTGGGTGTGTCGCGCTTTTATACAAATACAATGCACTGCTTTCATCGATTTGACCATTGGCTAAATTTAGACACAATTTCTAGTTCGCATTTGCATTCTTTATGAACGCAATTTCCCCCGCTATTTTCAGCCTCTGCTCGAAATTAATTCATTGTCTTCAATTGCCCGCGACACACTTGGCTGGTTTTTCTATTGTTGCACTCGGAAAACCCCAAAATAAAAGGTGACTACCCCTCCTTCTCCGCCGCCTCCTTTCATTTCGTTTTTCCCTCGTCTGTTTGCTTTGGGCGCCACTTCGTTTTAATTGCCGGCTGCCAGCATAAAAAAAAAATAAAACTATTTTTGGCCCAATGCGTTTCTCCACTCCATTTGATGGCCGCACTTAACAAATCTGTTTACACCTCCGTTAATTAGCAACTATGTTTGTATACAAATTCGACGGCTGCACAACTTCGATTTTTATGCACCTTTTAGAGGGGGTTTTACCCCCTCTAGTTTGGAGTTTGGTTAAACAATAATATTATATCTTCAAAAAGCTTTCGTGCTTCTATTTATAGTCACACTTATACGGTATTTTACCATATAATTATTCCAAGTTTTGGAATTCCAAACATACCAATTTACAGACCATTTTTGGAAGTTTCTAAAAAATATTCGAAAAAAAACTGAAGACTTTTTTGTAGTATCCTATAAAAGTTGAACAATATTTAGAAAAAAAACAATCGTAACCTGTTTACTAAAATGTAGTTTTAATATATTTATAGTTGACAAAATATAGCATTTAAAGTCAGACTGAGCCAGTCCAATTGCTTCTGTTTCTCTTTTTGATAAAGCCAAGTTATTTTCATCTCGTTTATGGCTCTAATCGCTTAACAAAACAAGATGATTAGTGTTTTTGAGAAAATGTTTTCCGCAACTCATTGCTGATAGTCCCAAGCACCTTTTTCTTATCGGTATTGTTCCAAAAGATGGCAGCATTTAAATCAGCAAGTTAAGATTACCCAAGGTTTAGTTGATAACTAAGAGATTACCTAGGGAAATCTTACAGAAGCTTGGCGACCAGAAATCTCCCCCACAGCAATTACTCAGTTACCATTACCCAACTGGTGGTGAACAGAAAAGCACACATAACTCGACCGCAAACTAAATACCAAAGTATTGGATTTCAGATTCACGTCAAGACAGCGACAATCCGGCAAAGAAGTTTTCCGGGCAAGCGACAATGGACAACAAGAGCGAGAAGGTTACGGTGAACAAGGAGGAGCTGCGCAAGCGCCTGACCCCGATGCAGTATCAGGTTACCCAGGAGGCGGGCACCGAGCGCCCCTTCACAGGTGGGCCTTCCAGCTCAAAATATTGAGTCGTTATTGACTTATTTTAACATCCCTCTGCTAAATATATTGCAAATTGTATCCCTAAACGGCAAATCATCCAAGTCTAAACATACCCATTAAAAATATTATTATTATAACACAAAACCAATCGAGGAATTTAAAAATGTATTTATAATATATGATAATCATCTACTATCATATAGTCATCAAATTTTAGTTTCTTGGTTAGAAGATTATGACATATTTGTAACTACTTCCTATCCACGCAGGTTGCTACAACAAGCATTACGAGAAGGGCGTGTACCAGTGCATCGTGTGCCACCAGGATCTGTTTAGCTCGGACACCAAATACGACTCGGGATGCGGATGGCCGGCCTTCAACGACGTCCTCGACAAGGGCAAGGTCACCCTGCACCGCGATGCCAGCATACCAGGTGCGTAACGCCCATGCGGCCCACTTCCCGGCCAGCTAGCCACTAGATGGCCTAGACATTGTTCGGCACTCTTAGCTGTTTTTATTGCAAACCGTTTTGAGTTCTGTTTTTATTTGAGTTGCCGTTGCTGTTTCGTTGCCGCACCCAAAAGTTGAGAATGAATTTTTCGTTTAGCCTAGGAGACAATAAAACCTAGACTAGAGGAAAACATGCATAGTTATCATGTGTAAATAAGAGGTGTCATCAAATTAAACGAGTAGTATTTAGACAAAAAAAAACAAATATTTACTACGTTTATATAAAAGCCTTACAAAGTATGTACAATGCAATTAAGTGCAAGAGAACTAGATCTGTATAATAATGCGTTTTAGGAAACAGAAAAGAATATTTATATGATATCAACTGATCTCAAAATGATTGGCTTAAAAATAAAAAAAAATTGAAAAATTAAGGGCTATAAACGTAGAAAAACGTAAAAAATTAGCAAAAGTTATTGTTAAAAAAAACTCATTTTTAATCTGTGCTGTTTGTGTTGCCTTGTTTGATGTTATTTTTCGGCTTTGTTTGTTTGTTGATCTTGAACTTGAACTCGAACTCGACCATTAACTGTTCCATTGACCAGAGTTCACTGTAGTTGTGCCGTTGGCCTTGCCGTTGTTGTTTTACTGTCTAGTCTTGTGGCGGTGATTGTGACTTGTGAGTGTTCCTGCTGCCGTTGCAGCACCTGAATGTGCAACAAAGCGAGAAGAAGCGACTAAAATTAATTCCTAACCGAGTATTGTGTTCTCTTATCCCCCTCTTCTATCCCGCCTGACTTTCTCGAAATTTCTTTTTCTCTTAAACAACAAAAAAAAATCAAACAAAAAACACACCAAAACAAAAAACGAATTTCATTTCGACTCTGCCCAAAATATCACCTACGAGTATCACTGTTAAACCGATTAAACCAACAGTAGTCATTTCGAAAACGCTAGGCATGGTGCGCACCGAGGTGCGCTGCTCCCGATGCTCCGCCCACATGGGCCACGTCTTCGATGACGGACCGCCGCCCAAGCATCGCCGCTTCTGCATCAACTCCGCGTCCATCGATTTTGTGAAGAGTGCGGCGCCATCGAAGGCCGATCCGCCGACTGCCTCGTCCAAGAAATAATGACCGATCTGTCTGCGCGCCACGAGGAATATTACATCCGGAGGAGCCCCTCGTAGACCGGGAAGATCTCTGTAGCCCCTTTCAACGGGCCTCTAAGGAGCTTCATGCCTCACCAAAAGATATTTAGCTATTTTATATAGGAGTTTATTATGCAAAAATGTTTAACAAAAAACGAAGCTTGTACACGAGAACGATGTTTGGAAATGTATTACGGAACGAGGAGTGAGAGATTAGTATTGTAGATCCAGGATCCCATTTTCCTATCTTTTCTTTCACCCTTTCATCTAAGTCTACTCTGTTTCGGTTTCAAACCTGTTGGATGGTGGATAATTTAGGAATTTTATAAAAGTTTATGCGGGAATCTATAATTCCTTGCTTTGGTTTCGCTTTTATTTTTATGTCTACTTCTCCAAAAAAAAAAATCTATTTCTTTTGCATTCCCATCGTAATATTAGGAATTATTGTACGTTACAAAAACTTAACATATTTCGTAGGAGTTTAAATGTTTAACAAGAAACTATGTTTGTGCAAGGCTACAAATAAGGTATTAAGGATCAGACTAGGGTTTCTTTTTATATGATTTATCTATCTGTTTTTCGGTTAAATGCCATTTTTCACCCTTCCTTTGATTTTAAATCCACAAATGAAAACATAAGAGCTTTTTCACATTCCCATTTCGATCATTATCCAAGGTTGGTTGGCATTATTTTTGGGGCCAGGGCCATTATGTGTATGTCTGTATGTGTGTAGTGCTTTATTTTTAAATATTTCCGCATATGTATTTTATTTGCTGGTGCTGTAATTTGGTTATTTTTATGATTTCGTTTTTACTTTTTATTTTGTTGCTTCTTACTCATGCTCAATGATTTTTTGAATAACATAACTCGAATACTGTAACCAACATTATATCCATAAACTTTTTAGAGTGTATTAAGCAAACCGAATAATGTGTATTTTCGTATATTTTCTATTTCTCTTTTTTTAACTGGCTTCCAAAACAAAAAAAAACTAAATGTACAACGCCTGTAAACGTTATTTGGGGGTTTGTTTTGCTAACAAAAAACACAACACTTACCAACTCATTGCTGAAATTGTAACACCCAAAAACACGACACATTAAACGCTTAATTAACCAAAATAATATGTACGCCAAATCACTCGGAAATCCATATTTATTTCTTATTCGTCATTTATTTTCACCCAATTAATGTGATTCATTACATACTTCTCGACTGCCGCCGTCCATTGTTATTTATCGTTCTCTCCGCTGCACCTCCTCCTTCGCCCTGTTCTTCGCTCTCTGATTTGCACTTCCATTTATTTGCCGTTATTTCTTCGATCTGTCTCTGTTTTTCTCTCTCTGCTTTTCATTCATCACCCATTTTGCAATCAATTTTCTATTTCTGTTAATTTGTTTACAACGAAAACTTTGAATTAACCTTGCAAAACGATCCGAAAAAAATTGAAAATATTGTAAAAAAAAATGTCAAACAAATGCGCTACAAACAAAAAAAAAACAACCAAAACGTATCCAATTAATCCCACAAAATGGCAAAATACAAACTAAATAGGGGGCAATATTTTACTACTAATCGCACATCCAGAACGTATACGCACCGAGGTCCGCTGCGCCCGCTGCAACGCCCACATGGGCCACGTCTTCGAGGATGGTCCGAAACCGACCCGCAAGCGCTACTGCATCAATTCCGCCTCCATTGAGTTCGTGACAGCAGATCCCGCCACCTCCTCGCCGCCCGTGGCCACGCCCACCGCCGCGCCCATTGCCCAGCAGTAAGGAAAGCGCGGCGAAAGAAACCCATTCCGTTCCCAAGGCTAACCATCAACCGTCTACGGAAAAGCGGATAAGCGGAAAAGCCCAACCTCAATGTCTCGTTGCTGTTAAGAATTTTTCTACGTGTACTTTCTAACTTTCCGCAAGTGTGGCCAATTTTAGCTCGTAGTCAGTCAATCGACCCCCAAAAATTCTACGTGTGCCCCTCTGTTTGTGTAAATAGCTAATGTTTTGCCTCAAAATTTGTTTGTTAATTCATACAAAACCGAATACCGAATACTCTGTACCACATTCAACACATTACTAATTTTAAACTGAGCGCGCTAAATAAACGTGTGTTTTTTACAATAACGTGTTGTATATATGCCTCATCGTGGGGTTAAAGGGTATATTACGATTACAGAATACGCATTTTCACTATTATATAAAAATATTTTTAATTAAGTTTATGTTTCTTAAAATAAAACATATTCTTAATTATTTCTTTAAACTAATATTTAGATGTTTGTACAAATTATTTTCATTTCGCCACTATTGTTGTGAACATAGCTGTAATGCATAACAGGTAAGCAGAGAACAGCTGTGCCGCGTTGCCAACCATTTGTGTTTTTTTTTTGCGAACAGATGCTGCGTCGCAGTTGTTGTTGCCTTGACGTAACGGCCGGCAACAGAATGAAATCGAATTTATTTATGGCTCGGAAGTCAATTGATTTTAATGGCCGCTGCCGTATTAGGTAAAATTCAATGTTCATTAAGCCCAAAGTGTTGTGCTGGCGACAAATCGATAACAGCGAAGTGACTGGAAATGCTGATCATTCGGTTTTGAGTGCTCACGTGTGTAGGGTGTCTGGAGAACCAATAGACCTACCCTATTCACCTTGATTTGTTTGTATTTGACTTTGAAAATAAAAGTGCTAGTGTCATAGACCGCATTATAAATTCGCAATTATCTAAGAGCGATTTCTGTGTAAATACAGCCCGGGCACTTCGTAGTGATAACTTGGGATCCGCCGAGACCAAGATTAGATTGAGGGCACGTCGACGACCATGGTCTGATAGCCCAGATTGCCCGTGAATCTAGGCAATATATTGAGCTTCACCTGTCCGCCTGTCCAGATGCAGAAACCCAGCTAACGGCATCCGATTCGAGAGCTCTGCGTGAGATCTCGTGGCGTTACATCACGTTACGTTTGACATTACGTCAGTGGCCGTTACTCAATTACGAAGATGCAGGAGTGGTTAAAGATTTCCTGCCTGCTGTGCGTCTTTGGCTTCATCCGCGAGATACGTCCCTCGGAACCTTACGTCACGGAGTATCTGCTGGGTCCCTGGCGGAATATCACAGAAACTCAGGTGAGCACAATGTGAAATTCTCCAGTATTATTTATAATTCAATTTCGATTCCAGCTAACCCACGATGTCTATCCAGTGGGCACCTATTCCTACTTGGTGCAGTTGGTCTTTGTTTTTCTAATAACAGATTTTCTCAGGTAATTATATATCATGATGGTGTTAATGTGTTTTCGATTAGTTTCCATTTCATATTATAAAGTATATGTTTTTTGGGGTATAAAATAAATTCGGAAAATATTATATTTTTCTTTACAAAAAACCTTAAAGTTCAGCATGTTCTATAATTTTTTTTTAAACCTACATAAAATTACCTATTCTTTCAAGATTTTACTTGGTTAAATCACCTTTAACCCCTTAAAGCATTTCTTAAAAAAAATTAAATAATAATATTGTTCAGTAATTTGACTCACTACAAAGTCAAATTTCGGACTTTGCTCGCCAAAAATGTTATTTGAGTCAGCAAAATGGAATTTAGATGTGTGCAATCAAAAAATTTATAAGAACGGTTTAAGCGAAACTGAAATTTAATTTAAACTAAACATCTTATTTAACAGATACAAGCCTCTCATCATCACTGTTGGAGCCACCGGAGTGATAATATGGAGCATGCTCATCTGGACCACCAGTCTGCTGTCCCTGCAGATCCTAGAGTTCTTCTACGGCACTTATATGGCCGCCGAGGTGGCCTACTACACGTATATCTACGCAAAAGTGGACAAGAAGTACTATCCTAGAGTAACCTCACACACCCGAGCGGCCATGTTTGCAGGCAAACTGGTCTCCGGGGTCACCTCGCAACTGATGATCAACCTGGAGCTGATGAACTACAAGGAGCTCAACTATATAACGCTGGCCAGTTAGTATTTTGAAGCATAGGTTTTTATGTGTTCAATAATTTTCATTTATTTTTAACTTACAGCTCAAATAATTGCCATGATTTGGGCCTTTGGCCTCCCCAGCGTGGACAAGAGCCTTTACTTCCATCGAGAGCCGTTGCCTGAAGGCGATCCGCAGACGCAGTTGCCCGGAGCAGACAACCTGGAGGTGGAGGTGTCTCAGGAGAGCCCCCAGAAGCAACCTCATGCACTGGGTCTTCTGTGGCTTCACTTTTGCAACGCCTACACCAATTCGCGCGTCATCCAATGGAGTCTGCTGTACGCCATCGGACTGACTGGTTACCTTCAGGTCACCTACTACGTGCAGGTTCTGTGGAAGGTGATCGAACCGGAGCCGCAGATCGCCTGGAACGGAGCCGTGGACGCTGTCCTGACGGCCTTGGCTGCTTTAGCTGCCCTGGCTGCCGGTTATCTGCACACTGGACGTCTGAGGCCACGAACATCTCTCGTAATCCTGGCCATTTTGTCCGCCGTGGAGGGCGGCTGTGTGCTGATCTGCTGCTGGACGAAGGACATCTACTGGTCCTATGCGGGATTCGTGCTGTTCGGCGCTCTCTACGGCTTCACCATCACGGTGGCCAGGTGATTAGCTTGATTTTCAAGAGTGCAGCATATTCCTTACTTTCGTTCTATGATTTGCAGTGCGGAGGTGGCCAGGAATCTGCAGGAGGAAAGCTTCGGCTTGGTCTTTGGCGTCAACACATTTGTGGCCCTCGTTTTCCAATCGCTCTTAACCATGATCTTTGTCACGGAAACGGGCTTTGAGCTCGACGCTGTGGGTCAGTACACGGCTTATGCGTTTTACTTTATAGCCGTGGGCGTGCTATATCTAATATCCGTGCTGGTTGAGTGCCTCATGTTCCGCGACACCGAGAGCGAAAAGCTGGAAAATTCTCTGGATTGATTTCCGAAGCATTTAGGAAGTACTTAAATTCGCCTGTTGGCCAGCACAACTTGGTTGCTTAAGAGAAAGACATGTTCCTATGGATGAAATACGATTAGATGGTATTCCCGCGATGGCTGATTATATTCCCAGAATAGTTAGGTCACCTAGTTATCTGCAGTCTGTTGGCCGATTTCCAAGTATTTAGTGCAGATTTCCATTAATAGCGTGCACAATCAGTCTCAAGTGTGTCGAAATAAAAACATCAAGCTTTTTTAGAATCACTCTGCGTTTCACTAATAGACCTTGTCGCGATTATCGCACTTAATTACGGGTAATTTATATGGTAGCTAGATGGATGAGGAAAGCTGATAACTGATGGCAGTTTAACGAAAATGTACTTCAGGTGTTTGAAAACATTTAAGTGCTCATATTGTGAAGCACGTTTACAAATATTTACATATATTTTACAAAAAAATTGCTATTTTTTTAATGATATGTTGATAGTATACCCGGAAAGGTTTCTTTTCCATTTATAAACAGGCTACCGCTGATTATTAACTTATCATTATTATATTACACAATCATGAATAAACAAATCGAGTCTTTAAGACTCTCTGAGAATTTAACTGCAAGATCCATTTAAGTGCCGGGGCACGTTAATAGGCTAATTAGCTGATAATTTGTATGGCCAACTTGGAGTGGGAACTGCATGGGTAGAGAGCAAGTCAATCAAGATCGTGACCATGCTCTATGTAAGCGGAAACTTCCCGGACTTCCCAGCACCTCGTCGCTCCGCTAACTGCTCAAAATCGGAGAGCACTTGGATCGTAAATCGCGAATGGGCCTGCGCTGATTACAAGCGTCGAAGGTAAATCTCTATACTCGGGACTAGCCTGCTCACCCCTTCGGAAGAATGTGCAATTATTATAATAGCTGGTCGAAGCTCCAAGCTGCCAGACATTCGTATAGCCGGTGCGATCGTTGGTTCGCGTAAGTATCGCGATTAGATTTAAGCCGACAGCCGTGAAGGGATGGAGTCTTGGCTGAAGATATCGTTTATGCTCTGCATGTTCGGGTTCCTGCGGGAACTGAAACCCTCGGAGCCCTACCACACTGAGATCCTGATGGGCGAGTGGTACCACGTCACCCAGGACGAGCTGAACCGATCGGTATTTCCCGTGGGAACGTACTCCTTCCTGGCACTCCTAATCTTCGTCTTCCTTATAACGGACTTGCTTAGGTAAATACTAGACCCTAAGCTATCTTTATTGACCATTATTAACCCGCTGTTTGTGCTGCAGATACAAGCCCGTGATTATCGCGAATGCAATTACGGGAATTATCGTTTGGGGATCTCTGATCTGGACAACTTCGCTGAGCGGCCTGATGACGATAGAGGCTTTCTATGGGTTCTACCAGGCCGCCGAGGTGGCCTACTACACGTACATCTACGCCAAAGTGGACAAACAGTATTATCCCCGGGTGACCTCGCATGCCCGGGCAGGCATGTTTATCGGCAAACTGGTGGCCGGAATTTTAGCCCAACTGGTGATCGGAATGCAGTGGATGAGCTACAAGCAACTGCTTTACATCTCCGCCAGCAGTGGGTTCCCCAGTTAACTAAGTGATTGTATAGCCACTCAATTAAGACACCCATTTTCCCACAGCTCAAGTTGCGGCGCTGCTTTGGGCCTGCGGCTTGCCGAAGGTGGAAAAAAGTTTGTACTTCCACAATCGAACCGAAGCCATACAAGAGGCTAGCCAGTCGGATGGTGGAGGCCTAGAGAAGGGATCGGAGGAAACGGATCCCAAGGAGACGGAACCGAAGACAATGCCCAATCCAAGTAAGAAGATCTCAGCCGGGAAACTCCTCTGGTCGCATTTCCGTAGTGCCTATACCAATCCCATTGTGCAGCAATGGAGCTTATGGAATGCCCTAAGCCTGGCAGGTTTCCTGCAAATCTCCACCTATATCCAGGTGGTCTGGAAGTCCTTCGAAAATGAACCAACCGTGAGTAAATTGGCATGATAATGGAAAGGGAAGTGATGAATCAGTTTTTCATTTTTCAGTGAATAAATCAATTAATTAATTTTTCGCTTCAGTTCATTATAAATAAAATATCCTTTTTCAATAGAACCTATTATTTTACAAAACGCAAAAGTGTTAAATTTTGTCTTATTTTTACATTATTTTTTCTTTCCGATTACCGATTTTTGTTAAATTAAATTCGGAAATATTAAAACATAGTCATATCGTAAAACAGAGGACAATACAAAGAAAAAGCCAAAGAAGCTATAATTTATTTTTCTATTATTATCCTATTAATTTTCCGTCCGGATATTTTTCAAATGTAATTCGAAATTCAAAAACACATAAAAAATAAAAGCTATAATTTTTGTTCCATTATTTTTCCGATTATTCCTATGGGAGCTATTGGATATAGTTGTCCAATCGGGCTTGTTACGACTTATATATTCATTATCTTTACTTGTCCCCTTACAGATTATTTGGAACGGAGCTGTGGACGTTGCCTTCACTCTTCTGAGTGCCATCTGCGCCCTACTCGCCGGATACTTCCATGCTGGCCGTTTGAGCACCAGGAGCAGCCTGCTCTCGATGGCTCTACTTTCGATCCTTGAGGGTGGTTGCATGCTCCTTTGTTGCTGGACCGGTAGTATATACCTGTCATACCTTGGTTATGCGGTTTACGGAGGATTATTCGCCTTTACCATAACGGTGGCTACGTAAAGGATCCTAATTTGCGTTCCCTAAATACATTAGTAAAATCCTCTAATATATTTCAGTTCTGAATTGGCCAGCAGCTTGTTGGAGGATAGCTTCGCCTTGGTTTTCGGCTTCAACTCGTTTATTGCTCTCATCCTGCAATGCATCCTGACCCTTGTCGTTGTCTCGGAAAAGGCAAATCTAAATCTGGATGCTTTTCAGCAGTTTACTGTCTACGCCATCTGTTTTATAGTAATTGGAGTAGTCTACGCCATGGCTGTTTTAATACACTATTTATGGTCATGCTCGAAGAGTTCTAAAACACTCAAAATCCAAACTATTGAAAATCAAGCTACTTAAGTATTGAAATATTTTGTTCTTGTTAAAGTTTTTGGTTAAAATATAATTTATAAATAAAATATTATTTTCCCATTAATTATTACGTGAATATTGTTTTTATTGTACACTTTATATATAAGAATTTAACTTAAAACGATTTGAAAATTGTTCGGAAATTATTTTTAGGCTTGGTAACCTATCTGAGTGTACCATGTACATTATATGGCCACTAAAAACTTAATAAAGTAATCCAACATTGATGATAGTGAATGATGACATTTTTAATTCAACATTCAAAAATCGGCGTACGACTTAAATCTATAGCTAGGCTAGCAGAATTCGGTCTGATCCCCGCCGTTGCGGAGGACCGCCGAAACGCGCCACGTCATCGATTCGTAGAGCATCTCGATCTTGTCCACCATGTCCTGGTCGGTGTGCCAAACGTCGTACAGGACGGCCCGGAACTCGCTGACATTCTTGGGGGCCTGATTCTGGATCCGTGGCTGGATGATGGCCATCAGTTGCTCGAGCAGATTGAGGTCACTGCACACGGAGCCCTCGGGACCCATTAGGGTGTCCAGGAAGATCTCCTTGGGCGGCGACGATTCGTCGTCGAACTTAAGATCGTCCATGTTGAAGATGTTGCGCCAGTCGCGCACTGTCCAATCCTGGTGAGCGGTGGCCCAGGCCAACCTCCTCCTCTTCTCCTTATCGCCCAGCTGGTTTGATGAGGATCCACTGGGTTGCTGGCCAATCTTGGAGCGTATCTCGCTGATCCTGCGCTGCAAGGTCCTGCGACTGACCTCTATGCCGTGCAGGGCCAGTTCCCGCTGGACATCGATGGACGTGTAGTACGGATGATCGGCCAGCATCCGCTCGACGAGCTGCCGGTTCTCCAGGACCTTGGGTCTGCCCACCTCGCGTCGCTTCTCCTCCTCCTGGGAAACCACGGGCGCTGTGGCCGCTGGCTTCGGTCTCTGCGGCAATCGCAGCGTGGCCGTCTTGCCCTCGAGCAGCTCACACTCCCGGATGCAGCTGACCACGCTCTCCAAGTCGCACTCCAGGATCTGGGCTATCTCCTCGCAGCTATTCGATCCCTTCAGCGCCCTCACAATACTTCGAACTTCGGGAGCCAGAACCATTTCGTTAGTTGCTTCGTCGTTCCTCGAGTTTCACAATCCAAATGCTGGGTTTGGAGTCCCTAGCCAGGGTTTTATGCACCTGACAGGTAAAACTTTCTGTCCCGATTTTGGCGTTAGCCTGGTCCCTTATTTTATGGCGAGCAAGCTGTAATTGCCCGGGATTACGGCGTCATTTCAGTTTCAGGTTCCAGGTAAATCGCTTCAGACGACGGCGTCCCTTTTCAACATTGGCGGCCATTCCGTTATTCGCATTTAGCAGGGATGCCAACCCTTGTTATGTGCGACAGCTATTTTAGGGGAGGAATTTCCTAATCTCACGATCAGCTGTTAAGGGAAATGCCAGCACTAGAATGGAACCTTATATCATTTAATCTTGTGTGGAGTTAAAGATATGTGATATATGGAAACCTACTCAATTTAATTAAAACGTTTACGGTAGTGTTAAAATGAAAAAATAAATTAAATTTTAAATATTTCAAAACCTTTAAAAAATCTCATATCCATTTGTGCTCATTATCATAGAATCTTGTGTCGCGGCAAAAATATAATTTTGATATATTTTAAGCAGTATTCTCCAGAAAACATATTCAATTTAATTAACACGTTTTCATCAAATTAACTGAAAACCGCGGCTCTATAAATTCTAACACTTTAATAACATTTAAAATCATTAAAATATCCCATGCTCGAGAAAAAAGTATGACAATTTCTGACATTTATTAAGATGCAAATTAGCAGGTTTAGCCAGAATACTATCTGAAATAGAAACCCCTGTGAAACCCATTTATCTTCATAACCAATTACCAAGACAGTTGCAATTAAGTACGTTTGCTTTGTTTCGAACATGCAATTTAATAGTTGATTTCCTTTGATGCTTTGTAGAATTACAAAAATAAATATAAAAACTTGTACATATGAAAGTGTTAGTTACCTCTACAGTAGGAAATGCAGTACACCTTTCTTCGAACTGTTAGAAATATATATGCCAGATGTTTTGTTGCTTGTCTTTTATGCTGTGTTTCATTGTTTCTTTCTCGTTTTACATAAACGCGATTTGTAAAACTATGTTCAACTAAACATATATATATTTGAAGGGTGCACATTGATTTGGAATTACAAAATACCATAAAGATCAAATTTTGAGTACGCTTAAGCTCGCTAGAGTGGCTCAGCCTTCGAGGCGGCTGATTGAACTGATAGATATTAAAGCACATAATCGGGGGAAAAGGCAACCGAATTAGCCACTTATACTATGTGGCGATGGGGACCGTAGCAGAGTGATCGGAATCGTATAATTAAATAAATAACGCTAAAGTACGCCTAATTGGTTTAGATCCATGTGCTAGGTTTTGATTACTGTGAGTCTGTTTTCGTTTCTCCATCGCTTTTGAGTGTTTTTTGTGTGGGAGTGTGGGACTGGAGCTGGAGCTGGAACTGGAGCTGGGGGAATCGACAGTGTGGGCCGGCCTGCCCGTAGTTAGTCATCCAGATCGATATCGGAGTCATCCGAGTCGTAGCCGCCGCGTATTGTCTTCTGTGGGCGGTTGATGAATGGCTTGCGCTTCACATCTGGCGGCTGCATCAGATCGCCCTTGTAGTCGATGGCTCCCGAGTGGGCAATGCGCCACTCGAGCATCTCCGTGGCGAAGTCGTCGCAGTTGCCCAGATCGGTGAATCCGACAATAAAGTCCTTGGTCTTGCTGTCCTTCACCAGGGCAATGGTGGGTATCACCTTGATGCGCAGCCGCTGGGTGAGGAAGGGGGTCTTTTCGGCGTTCACCTTGCAGAACTTGGCCTCCACGTGCTTGGCGGCCAGGATTTTCAGATGCATGTCCACGATCTTGCAGCGCTCGGTGCTGTCGCGGTAAAAGTGGCACACAATATTCGGCGACTTTTTGGACATCTCAAAGAACTCCTTTTCGTCGGCCAGCTCGGTGTAGGTGCCGTGGCCCTGAAATAGAGAGGGATTCAAGTTAATGGTTTCCGTTTTAGTGGTTTAAATCTACAAATTTCAAAATGTTGGAAGTTATTCTGTAAGTTTTTACGAAACTTTCATACAATTATTATCATTTTACAACCGCAAAATAGTCTTATTGGACTATACAAAATATTACCATATATAAATTAAAAAATTAAATATTTTATAACTTACCATACAACCAAACTAAAATTTACAATCTATCAATTATTATCAAATAACAACCGCAAAAAAGTCTTATTGGACTTATACAATATATGGTAATATTGATTGATTGTAAATTTTAGTTTGGTTGTATGGTAATTTATAAAACTTTCTATAATATTTTAAGGATATCAGCGGAAAAACATGAATATTTAACGTAAAATTCCTATCTTGATAACCATTTGGCTATGACAGCATTTAAAGAAACATCCTGAAGTTGCTCAAATAACAAGATTTAGGTAGTTAAGACCACCTTATAAAGCACCACCTACGTTTCTGAGCCACTCCTGCTTCTTGTTGTTCAGGTCCTTCATCTCGCGAAGGCGCTGCTCCCTCAAAGCCTTCAGGTCATCCGAGTCGAGGTTGTCCAGGCGGTCCAGCTGTTGGTCCAGCTGCTGCTCGATCGTCTTGGCCGCCGTGAACAGTTGGTTCTCCAGGAGATTTGCCATGTTGTGCTGCTCTGCGTTTATTTCTGTTTCTCCGTTTATTCGCACTCTGCGTGTGGCGTGTTCGTGTTGGCGTCGGTGTGAGTGTGTGCGTGTGGATCCGGCACAAATGGAAAGGCGTAGTCATGGAGCCGCAGATGCGTCATGTTTTGTGGAAAATTCAGTTAAGTAAGCATTGTTAACGCGAAATTGGGGCGCCTCTTGGTCAAGGGGGCCACAAATCGATTTATCAGTAGGTACTCACGCCGGTTTTTCACTTATTTCATTGATTTTACTGCTTAAAAGTTTATTTAGTCGTAGGATTCGGTGTGACTGTGGGCGCCAGAAATACCGTGTTGCCAGGGATGGACGTGAGGAAGGTGTCTCGGGTAAGCCAGGAGGGTGTCTCCGCTAAGACGATGGTATCGCACGTGGCAAAAAAACATCGATGTAGAAAATTTTAAAACATCGATATTTCCACCTCTAAGGCGTACTGGCGTTGCTTTAATTTGTTTTTGTGTCGGCGTCGGTTTTGGATTCAACTTGTTTGTCGTAGTGCTGCTGTAAAAGTAATTCCTGTGCTGATAAAAGTTAAAAACAAAAGGTGGGTGTGCCTACGTTAATATTAATTGCTAAAATTGTTTAAATGTGTGGCGTGTGCCAGGACTAGCCGCGCATCCTTTTTGTTGCGGTAGGATTGTGAAGCTAGGGGTACATAAATTTTTGCGCGTACAAAGGAAAATAGTTTCGAAATTGCGAAAAGTGTGCGAAATATAAGGATGCAAATTGCAGAAATTGCATTGTAATCTCCCCACAAAGGATGTTTTATACCCCTCTGGTCCACGAGTTCCGTACTTTTTCTTTACCAAATGCTTTATCGCCAATTGAGGCTGTCGCGCCGCCATTTTAAAAAACGAACGCGGTATCTGAGCCTCCGACAATTGCCTGGTACAGTGGTGGCAAAGAATAGTGGACAACGTTGACACTGCATATATTTGTTTATATAAAACAAATATATATTTTGAAGATTTCCATAAAATTTGTATATCCAACAAATAAGAAGATATAAAAAAATATTTTCCTTCATAAGAGTAATGATAATATTTATATTAGTGTCTTTTAAAAATTGGCGGTCATGTTTTTAAAGTTGACAGTTATACAATTTTTATAAAGTTAGAAAAGAGTTGTCAAAAAATCATTTGTTGTAATATTGCTCCATTGCTTTCTTTTATCGTGTCTAATATTTTGGCGCGCATTGTGGGCCGCCTTTTTACCCACACAGACAGGCAGTCTGCACATGTGTGTGTGTTTTTGCTTTTTTATTCCTTCGTGTGTTTATGTTTTTTGCTGATCCGATCGCCACTCGTTGAAATTGATTAACTTGGAGCAGAACCTCCATCAACCACTCGACCATATAAACAGGCATTTATGCTCGTCTTGTTGCCGAGTTTAATCAACTCCGCGAAACGAATATCAAAACAAACGGCGAAAAGGGCATTACAATAATGAATAACGATTCCCCCATCAAAGAGGGCTTGGCTAAAAATACATGCACACAAACATACATACAGCCCAAACCCACACAAACGCTAGTTTTTGCAGTCTTTCGTTGCAATTTTATGCATTATTTTTTATTTTTCGCAGCATCGTTCGTTGTCCGCGATTTTCAGCACTCGCATTTCCACTTTCTAAAAGAAAACTGCAATGCAATGCAATTTCTTTCTAAACGGCGTCCCCTTGCCTTTCCCATTGCGCCCACCAAATAAATGCACCTGGGTGCAACTAGTTTTGATACCCTCACAAAGGGTATAGCCCAACTATTCTTTAACATTTTTTAAATTAAACCTTAAAATGTACTATCAAATAGCCAAATATAAAATTGTCATCCATTATTTTTAAATTATTTCTGTTCAAGGTTTTTTTTTTAAAGGGTTTCGATTTTTTTTTCATCCTACATTTTTTTTTATAACATTTTTTCGTTTAGTTTTTGAGCTACATACATTTACAAAATATATACCAAGGAATTAACTTTTTAAAAATGTTTTGAAATTAATATTCTGTAATCAAAGAATTTTCTTTTCAATTTCCTTGAAAGAGAGTTTAAAAATTCGGTCTATCCTCATTTTCGATTTCGCATTTATCTGGCATCGAGCTGTCTGTGCAGTGTAGGTCGGCCTATGACAAGAAATTTTCCCTCTCTTGGCATTTTTCGCCGTCTTTGTTTTTGTACTATTTCATCAGTTCTGCCATTCTTACCCTTTAGAATTATTTCACTTGCAAGGCAAGCTAAGACAAAAAAAATAGGAAACAAAAACCTTGTTTATTTGCTTCAGCTTTGCGTGTTGTGCTGTATTTGTAAGTTTGTGTCTCACTTTGTTTCGAATGCATTTAATAGAACGGAAGCCAGTTAAAAATATTGGGGGGAGCGAAAATCAGCCAGGCAGAAAGGGAAATTATAGGCAGCGAGGAGTGAAAAACGAAAATACCCACCCCGAAATGCAAAACGGAATATTTTAACGAGTATTTTACGGAATTTAGACATTTTGAGTTGTAAATTAGCATATTTCCCCGGGTGATGATTGCCCATTCCCGGTAATTAACGCATCCTAATCTCTGCACATATGGCCATCATAAACGGCAGCTGTGTCTCAGCAGGTAGATTTTCCCTCCCATTTTCCCTCAGCCGATCAAGTACCTGCACTGATCCTCGTCCTTTGGCCAGCTACTTAAGACGGTGCAGGCTAGAGATCCTCTCAAGTTAAGCTTCAGTCTCGAAACCGTGAGGACGTGCTAGCAAATCCGAAAGATAAAACGCCAAGCGTCGCCCAGATTATCAGCCTAGCATAGAGAAAAAACTCGGTGACTTACTGTGATTAAAAAATTCTCATGCTGAACAGCAAAACTGTGGTAAGTGGGTGGGGGTATTGATTTCCGAGCCGGTTTTTCGAGTGGAATGTGGTGTAAACAAACCGCAAATCAATCTGTGTTTAGAATTCGTTTTCATTTTCACTGCACTTCAAGTGCAAGCAGTGTGTGCAATCAGCTAATAAATCATTCCCCTTGTTTGTGTCCCTTGCAGAGATCGTGCAACACGTCGTCGAAGGAAACCCAACCAATGTTAAGCAAAATGGCTAGCAACACAGCTGGAGGAGGAGGTGGTGGTTCCGGAGCCACTGGCTCGGGACGTCGTCTACCGCTCTCGCTGAGCGGCGGCACCAGCGTGTCCCGCCTGCAGCAATCATCCGGCAGCAATGGCCGCTCGAATAGCCCCCAGAATGGCAACCAAAAGAAGATCACAGAGTCACTGTTGCCAGTGAAAAAGACTAGCCAACAGCGCACCTCGTCCACCTCGTCCAGCGGATCCAGCCAGAACGGCGTCAGCAAGTCGACCAACGGCAAGGATAAGTCTCAAAATGGTAGCTCCACCGGCAAGGACCAGAAGGAACATAAAACTAAAGAAAAGCCGGTGGAAAAGAAGGAAAAGGAGGTGGATGCCGAGAAGAAGGACAAGGAGGTGGTGGTCGTAGAAAAGAAAGACCAGGAGGTAGCCGACAAGAAGGTTAAAGAGGTTGTAGCTGAAAACAAGGAAGTTGTCCCTGAAAAGGAGGACAAACAAGTTGCCCCCGAAAAGAAGGAAGTCCAAGAGGAGACCAAAAAGGAAGCTGCCGCCGAAAGCACCACACCCGCTTCTCAACCAGCTGCCGTACCCATCGAGGACGTGGTTGAGGTCATTCCCGATCTTAGCACTCCCACAAAGGATCGCAAATCCGCTCGCAAGTCGGGCAGCCAACAAAAGTCTCCCATCAGCAAGCCGATCTCCGCTTCGCCGGCCCAAAAGAAGCCAACCGAAGCATCTGTTGGCTCTTTGACTCCACAGGAGGATGTGGACATGGAACCGCTCCAAGTGGACGCCTCACCCATACGCAGTGTCCATGGCAACTTGAATGCCGTGCCGACGGCCACATCTACGCCGGGACGCAATCTCTTCGGCTTCCGCAGCAGCAGCAAGCAGAGCACCGAGGTGGAGCTGGCTGCCCAGCCCTCCGGTTCGCCGGCAGGAACTCCGGCCCGCACCTTTGCCCAGATCAGCGGCAGGCGCAGTATACGACCCATCGACTCGCTGACGCCCTCGAAAGTGGGCACCTACAGGTGCGGCAACAGCGATTTGGACACCTCGAGCTGCACCAATGCCAGCATGAATGCCACTGTGGGTTCGGAGATTCCCAACAGCTCGTCATTTTCGTTCTCGTTCTTTGGCCGCGGTCGCAAACGCGAACGCACTCCCCCGCCACTTTCGGCCTCGCAGTCGACCAATGATCTCGGCCAGGACGTGGAAATGTCGCCGCCTAAGCGCGCCCGCTTCGACCTGTTCAGCCTGAACCTGGCCTCGCCCTTTAGTTTGCTGCGCTCGCGCTTCTCCAAGGCCACCATCAGTTCGCCATCTCGTCTGCGCGAGGAGCTCAACAACTCCGGCGTGGAGGAGCAGCAGGCACACACATCTTCGAGCAGCGTGCCAGAGGAAATCGAGGTGGAGGAGGAGCAGCCCACCGAGGATGTGACCGTGGGCCAGGAGGCCGGTCTGGAGACGCCGAAGAAGGGCGGCTCGCCCATCAAGGAAATTCCCGCCGAGAAGGATGCCGCCGAGGGCCAGGATGTCGATGAGAAGTCCAGCGATGGGGAGAACATTCCCCCCGTTGTGGAGATCGCCGGTGAGGCCGCCGCCGCAGCCGACACCCGATCCCGCTGCTCAATTATGTAATACGACAAAAACAGACCCCCCTTCCCTTAGTTTGTAAGTTTATGTCTTAGCATATCCGTTTCTGCTCTTTTTTGTAATTTGTGTTCAGACGTAAAGTTACATGTTAAGAGAGTTGGAGAAGAGCTGCCGCCACAAACTTTGATAGCCAGGCCTGGATGGGTATTTTTTCATCAAGAAAACCTTGACCAGGTCTCTGGATTTATGGCAGAGATTCCTTGCTGGTTGGCTTCTCTTTGGGGAATTCCAAGTCGCAGTCAACCACCGACGAATCGTATATATCGGTACCCAGGCAAAGTGGGTACCACAACCGAACAAACCCAATATTCGTAGCAATCTGTGTAAGGAGTTTTATATGCAAACACATGTTTGTGAAAGTCTGTCATATCTTTCCGCCAATAAAATATTTTGTTTTAAATACGCAAAAGAAAAACAAAGAAAAGAAAAAACTTTTTGATTTGTAAAAATGTAACACATATTTCATAAATAAAGTACATTTTAAAAGAAAATATCTTGTTTTTAAATACTTTATGGGGCTAATAAACAATATTTGGTTAAAATATAAAAACGAATGTTTTTTAAAATTTTAAAATCACCTTAAAACAAACATGAAATTGCTCATTCTTTGAAATTATTAAGGTTAAGTTTCGCAATTCTATGAGAAAAAAGTCTTTAGAATGGAGTATACTTTTAATTTTTACTGAATAATGGTTAAATAGTACAATTAAAATCACTGAAGTCTGTAGGACAAACATTCCTTTTTTTGTAATTCAAATATTGGCGCCGAACAATGTTGGAAAGTGAAGAAACAAAAGTGGTGCCACTTCTTACCTCCTATCGATACACCTCTTCTTCTTCGATTTCAAGAGGCGTTTTTTATCAGCCTATCGATAAGCTGCTTCTTCTTCGATAGCTACCGTATCGGTAGAAAAAAAGAGAGAAGAGATTTCTCGGATTAGATGAGATACCAACTGAAAAATTATTAGTCAAGTGCCCCCGCAGCGAAGCAAAGCCAGCAGATTGCCCGCAGAACAGTTCAGTCCAGAGGGGTCCACTCCACACGCCAGTCGATAGCCAGCGGAGCAGCCAGGGAGTCGCGAAGGAGAAGGAGGAGGTGGAGGAGAGCCAGAGAGCCAAGAGCCAAGAGCGAAGAGCCACGAAGTGGGAAGTAGCAAAATAGATAGCCAGCATGTCCTGGACGGAGAAAGTCGATCCCGAGCTGATCTTCACCAAGCAGGAGCGCATCGGCAAGGGCTCCTTCGGCGAGGTGTTCAAGGGCATCGACAATCGCACCCAGCAGGTGGTGGCCATCAAGATCATCGATCTGGAGGAGGCCGAGGATGAGATCGACGACATCCAGCAGGAGATCATGGTGCTGTCGCAGTGCGACTCGCCGTACGTGACCAAGTACTATGGCAGCTTCCTCAAGGGCACCAAGCTGTGGATCATCATGGAGTATCTGGGCGGTGGATCCGCTTTGGATCTCATGAAGGCCGGTTCCTTCGATGAGATGCACATCGGCATCATATTGCGCGAGGTGCTCAAGGGCCTCGATTACCTGCACTCGGAGCGCAAGCTGCATCGCGACATCAAGGCGGCCAATGTGCTGCTCAGCGAGCAGGGCGACGTCAAGCTGGCGGACTTTGGAGTCGCCGGCCAGCTGACCAACACCACCTCCAAGCGGAACACCTTCGTGGGCACGCCCTTCTGGATGGCGCCCGAGGTGATCAAGCAGTCGCAGTACGACGCCAAGGCGGACATCTGGTCGCTGGGCATCACGGCCATCGAGCTGGCCAAGGGCGAGCCGCCCAATTCGGAGCTGCATCCGATGCGCGTGCTCTTCCTGATCCCCAAGAACAATCCGCCCCAGCTGACGGGCAACTATACCAAGTCGTTCAAGGATTTCGTCGAGGCCTGTCTGAACAAGGATCCCGAGAACAGGCCGACGGCCAAGGAGCTGCTCAAGTACCCGTTCATCAAGAAGGCCAAGAAGAACGCCTACCTTATCGACCTGATCGATCGCTTCAAGAAGTGGAAGCTGTCCAAGGGCGACGAGAGCGAAACGGAGTCGGAGAACTCGGACTCGGACTCGGATGCCAAGCAGGGCGGCAGCAGCCAGGACGAGCCCTGGATCATGACCGTCAAGGGGCTGCACATCAACAGTGCTCCGCGTGCCGGCGTCAACAGTTTCCAGCTGCAGGAGCACGAGCTGACCATGCAGAAGCTAATGCAGACCACACACTCGCCAGGTGGTCAGCCTGCCGCCTCAGCGTCCTCTGTATCGGCGTCAGTCTCCTCCTCCTCCGTGTCCGTCATCACAGCCAGCGAGGCTGTCGCCTCCGCATCCGCATCCGCCCTGCCCCCCCAGAACAGCCACAACGTCCACAGCAACCACAGCAGCAGCAACAGCAACATCAACAACAATAACATCAGCAACTTGAGCAACAAGCATGCCACCAGCACCATGCTGAATGCAGCTCCACTGCCGAGCAGCGTTACCAGCTCCTCGTCGGCCAACGAGCTGCAGCAGCAGAAGCGCTCGAGCTCCAAGCCGGAGCTGCGCCAGTCGCGTTCCTCCGGCCCCCTGGATCAGGTTGAGGATCGTCGCGCCTCCCTGCAGTCCGCGGTGCCGCTTCCATCGCCTGCCGAGCAGCAGCAGCAGCGTCGCAGCAGCCAACGTGAATCATTCCATGCAACTAACGCCGCTTTGGCCGCCAGCAGCAGCAGTAGCAACAACCACGGCCACGAGGAGCATGTGGTGGCCACCAGCCATGTCAAGCAGCACACTGGGACAACGGGACAACAACGCCAAGTCCAGACGAACAGCGCCTGTCTGAACAACTTCCTCTTCCCCGTGCTGACCGACATCCAGCGAAAGTATTCGGGCGGCGGTGGATCCGGAGGCGGCGGAGGAGGATCTGGTGGACGCAACCTGGGCGTGGGCAGCGACATTGGCGACCTGAAGTCCGTATTCGAGCTGGCCGAACGCTCCAGCCCGGGCGTGAGTGACCTGTTCATGAAGGAGCTGATCCACATGCTCGTTCCGGGATATTCGGAGACGCGCATCAATACGATCATGGACCGAGCCATACGCAACCGCAAGTAGCTGGCGCCCGTAGCTGTAGCCGTAGCCAATTCCGATTCCAAGAAACCTACTTTACTATATACACAACAACATTATTAACGAGAACGAGACAAGAGCGAAACATATTCCGACATTAAGTGGCCAACGGAGGAGCGGGAGCGATGTACATGTATTTCAATTGAACAGTTATTTAAGCATACAATATGTATTCGTTTGTTTATCTGCAATATTAATCTAATGTAAAACATATATAACTTCAGAATAAAAACCCCACAAAAATCAGCATTTGAATATGGCGCGGTGAAGCGGAATGGGCAGCACTGGCGATGAGTTGATCTGGCAACTCTGCCATGAAGTTGCCGTATATTTGAATTGTAGATATTCAAAATGCGGGAATAAAAAAATTTAAAAATTGAATATAAAATAAATCAAATTGGGATACAAATTTTCAAAAATTCAGTCACAAACAGAAACCGACTGATTTTCAGAGGGTTAATTCTGAGTTTAACTACAACTGCAGCTTGGTATGTTTTGGCGCTCTGGCTACGGTCATACTGATGGCAACGCCACAGCCATTTTGCATTTTAGTTTCGTGTTTTTAGTGTTTATAGCTATTTTTTTTAGTTTTCCACCGCATCTGAGCACTTATTCCGAGAGCTGATGACCCGGCAGCCATGTCGCACGCACTGGTGAACGAGGAAAAGCTGGAGGCGCTGGTCTACGAGCGCTCCAAGGCCTGGTCGAGCATTGTGAAGGTGAGTCCGTTGGCGTTCCAAATGGCGTCTCTCTAAAGGATTGCTTTTTTGCAGGATTTCTCCACAGTGGATGACGGTTTAGAGATGGATGTGTCGGAGTTCGATAAACTGTTCCACGGCGACGACGAGAACTCCGACCTGCAGGACGAGGAGGAGGAGGCCAAGGAGGAAAATGGGACGGAAGCGAAGCTGGAACTGGGCCACATCAATGCCAGCAGCGTGGCGGAACTCACCATGATGCTTTGCGCCGGCGAGGACAACGAGGGCAAGGTGGAGATCGAGGAGATCCTCAATCAGACAGTGCCGGTCGTCGAGGAGCACAAGCGCAAGTGGCGGGAGGCGGGCCTGGACCGAATCCTGGAGACCTTCGATGAGAAGCAGATCGAACACCATGTGGGCCACTGGATGCGGCGCCACAACAGCGTCTACCTAAACGCCCATGCCCACGGCAACTCGATCTCGGACCAGAGCGACGAGTCGCTGCACTCCATCGACACGGCGCGCTACATCCAGCAGAGCCGCCGGCGCAACGCCCACATGACCAATAAGAACCCAAACCTCACCACCATTAAGATGTACCGCAAGCACTCGCACAAGCGGGACGAACTGAGGGCCAAGTACGCGTACGATGACGAGCAGGAGCATCGCCATCACATGCAGGCCTTGCTGCATCGCCGGCGCGAGAAGGAGCGCAAGCTGGCCTACCTGGCCTCCACGCCGATGCACTGCACCTACTCCGGTGGCCATCACGGGAGGCGCAAGCATCTGCGCAAGCGGCGCAACAACTCCTGGATCTTTGACTCGTCCTCCAGCAGTGAGGACGATCCATCGTTCGCTGGCTGCGACTGCCACTCGTGCCGCAGACATCAAGCTTTGTCCAGGAGCGCTTACCAGTACTGCGCGTATGGCCGGGACCAACGCGAGTATCTCCACCGCCAGGCGGCATCGCGGACCATGCACACGATGCATCACCGGCAGCATCGCACCTTCGACGTGGAGATGGACCTGCGACCCAGGCTGCCGGAGAACGAGTGCAGCTGCTGCAACAGCGACCGACTCTGCTCGAATTTCGTTCACATTGCGAATAGCTCGACGGAGGAGTGGGTGGTGGAGAACCGCAGCAGTCCCTTGCGCGCAGGGAAGCAGGACAAGACCAGGAAGCACAAGCAGATGGTGGCGGTTAGGAAAGCAAGCCCCCAATCCGTTCGATCCAAGTGCCACGAGCAGAGATTACTGAAAACGAAGGCTGCCTCCGCTTCCAAGTTGGTTAAATCCAAGGCTAACTACACGGAAATGTTCGATAGTGACACTTCCGGTGAAGATAACATTCCGCCGAGGAAGGAATTGTTCTGCCACTCAGAGCGCAGAAAAGTAAATCCAGTTCGAATTACAAAGGCGATGAGTAAGACGACAACTCATGTAGCTTCCTCCGCGAAAAAGGCTGCAAAGAAGGCTATTAATCCTAAGAGTTTGCCACAAATCAAAGAAGAAGAGCCGCCCACTCGATCAGCAGACGTGCTTCAAATAATTCCAGCTAGCAGGAGTAAAAAATTGGCACTTCCGAAAAGCGAATCCTCTGATCTAAGCGAAGGCGAAATAAAGAAACCGAAACGCTTAATGAGTTTCTCGGAGAAGGTGGGCTTAGCTGAAAATCAAATTCCAAATGCGGTAATGCCGGCAACTCCTTTAAATTTGCCAATAGTCATTGGAAAAGAAAACAATTGCCTTTCAAAAATGCCCTTAGCTGAAAATATTGCTAATATTGAAATCGAATCTACTGACGAAAGAGCAGAACCATTGAAATCTGCAGAAATCAAAGATAAAGAAGCCGACTCGAACTCCAACTCGAAACCAGTGGAATCAGGATCAAAGAAAAATTCAAAGGAGGATTTAGCGGCTTCCCTCATCAAAGAAAAGGAAATCTCTTTAGGAGAAAAGGACAAGGCATCCAGTCATATTAAAAAATCTAATGGACGTATCGAAAGCGAATCTTCCGATTCAAGCAACGATGAAGTGATAGAAAGGAAGCGCATTGTGAGTTTCACTGTGGCCAACAAAAAGTCAAAATGTCCTGCTGTGAAGAAAACTACCAAACAGAAAACGATTCCAACTTCCGAGGAAAAGGCGGAGATCCCAGAAGTTATAACCCTAAACTCTTCATTATCCTCTTGTAATTCAGAGAAGAAAGGAAAGGGAAAAGCGAAGAAGACCTCAGGAAAAGCCAATACAATCGATAAGTCAGCTGCAAAGACGTCTACTCCGGGAGTCAAAAAGACGACACGGAATTCGGCCAAAAAGAAAACTACTTCTGCTGCTACTACGAAAAAGAAAACTAATTCTGCTGCTACTACAGAGTTGCCGAATATCGAGGAGGAGACACCAAATATCGCACCCGATTCCCAGCAAAAACCGAATCCCAAAAAACAAAATTCAAGTGAAGGAAAGGCCGGAGAAGACATTCCAAGGGAAAAGCTTGACAAGCCCTGCGATTCAGAAGAGGAGCTGCAGCGGGCCTTGGCTTTGTCCAAGTCTTCGTACAAGGAGGAACAACAGAAGCGGCGGAAAACAAAAAAACAGGCCTCCAAGGAACAGCAAGAACAGTCGCCTGCCGAACAATCGTTGGCGGTGTTCAACAATCAAAGCGTGGCCTGCAACTCCACAGCTCTGGCCAACGACACGGCCTGCAAGCGTGTGCTGACCAGGAGAAGGGCGGTCAAAAGGGTGGCCGCCGTTAGCACCACAGAGGAGCAGTCGGCGACGAACAGCTCGAGTTCTCCGCCGGGCAGTTCGGGTGATGTGGCCAGCGCCACAGGCGGCGATCCTGACTGCACGGTGGTCACGTCCACCACTTGCTGTGAGCCACCAGTTGCCGGAGATCCTGTACCTCCGCCCTTCAAGCTCACCAAGCGGGGCATCCTTCTGCACAGCTCCTCGACACCTGGCGAAGCCAACTTCACGCTGACCGAGCAGGGACTCGGAAAGTTTATCGGCGATCGTTGGGCTCGCAAGTACCTGAAATACCACATCGGCAGCCGGAGCTTCGACAGCCGACACTCGGTTTACTACCAGCCCACACCGCAATTGGCCGCCGCCCTGACTGCTCCGCAGGATGCCCAGAGCCTCGCCAATCTCTCGAGTTCCAGCGCCAGCGATGATGACATCTTCGAGCAAATAAACCGATACGGAACGGTGTACAGCGTTCTTGAGAAGAAGTCTGGTGGCTAGTTAATCTTAAGCTTAAACTTAGTTTTTCATAGACTAAACTAAGGTTTTATATGCGGTGTTAAACACATCCCTTCTAAAAGGAAATATTAGAAATATTGTTGTAGTTTATTTTTTGAGTTTTGATTTATTTCACGTAAATTACATGATCGATAGTGATAATAGAAAACATAATACGTCATAATCAATATAATCATCATAAATTTTCGCTTAAGTATTAAATAATTGTTTAAGAGATTTATTCGCATTGCAATAGTAATTCTTGTGTGTCGAAAAGTTGTGTTTAAGTTCGTTTCCATGAAGTTTATCAAAATTCATATCGGCTATTGTTAATTTGATGTATTCACAAGAAAACAAATAAAACGTAAGATCAATTTATAGAGTGCAAAATGGCGCGTCGAAAGACAGAAGCTTCGTCCTTCCATGTATGTATTTACAAATAACAAAAACTTACCTAAAATATGTTGATAAATCAAGAAATTAAAATTAAACAAAGAGCGTTATGATGAAAACAAGAAACACACGACTTTTGACCCTGGAACATGCGCGCCCACACACATACACATCATGCGAAGCATATATCTACACGTACACATATGCCCGGCTATATAGGCTATATATGGCGCCCTACACATCGATCTGGAATGGGGAGCCGGGTATATGCTCCTCGCCCCACTTGATTAGGAGCACATACTGGCCGCGGTCGCGCACCAGATACTGCACATTGTAGTTGTTGTGGCCCGCGTGCTTCACGTGGAACTCCTCGCAGGGTCCCTTTGGTCCGTACATGCCCACGTACAGGATGTTGTTGCCTGAAACGATAAATGCAAGTTAAACAAGAGAGAACGCTGTAGTCGGGTGGGTGTCCCGACTATCTAATACCCGTCACTCGGCTAAAGGGAGTGCGAGGGAGATGGATATATACAGTTTTGATTGCGCATAACTTTTTAACGAATGGTTCGATTTGAAAAATTTCTTCTACATTTCGATAGGTATTAATATGCACAATAAAATTGCATTTATACTTCTCAGAAATCTTTAAAGGCGTGGGCTCCAGACACATTTTAAAATTCTTAGTGGCCGATTGTGGGCGTGGCACTCGGCTGAAATAAACTTGCGCTGCGTAGGAAGCCCAAGAATATGTGTGGAAAATCTCAACCTTCTAGCTTTTGTAGTTTCCGAGATCTCGGCGCTCATACGGACGGACAGACAGACGGACATGGCTAGTGATCCTAATCAAGAATATATATACTTTATAGGGTCGCAAACGCTTCCTTCTCCCTGTTACATACTTTTGCACGAATACAATATACCCTTTTACTCTACGAGTAACGGGTATAAATATTTTGTAGCTATAATCCTAGAGAGGTCAACTCACCCGCATCGGTGGCACAGATGCTGAACTGGTTCTGCTTGCCGATGTAGGCCTTCTTCAGGCCCATGCCCTTGGACACCACCTTGGTGGCATCCGACTTGAAGGTGGGCAGATGGACGCCCGTGTTCTTGCCGCCCTTGGCCACCTTCTGCACCGTCTCGACGATCACCGTCGACGTCTCCTGGGCGCCCTCATCGGCCAGCTTGTCGCCGGTGGCGTTCACCTTGAACGGCGAGCCCACGATATGCATGTTGTTGTACTTCACCGTGATGTAGTGCTCGCCGGGCAGCAGTGGGGTGTAGCGCACCTTGTAGCCCTCCTCGACCTCCGTGCAGTCCATGGCCACCTTGGAGGGACCGTCGATGGAGACGGCCAGAGTGCCGACGCCCGCGTTGCAGGTGTTGATGATAAAGTCCGCCTTGTGTCCCGTCTTCACCTCGTCCAGGCCGTTGCCGCTGGCATGGACGGCAGCCGGATCGGCCACATCCTTGCCCACCTTGATTCTGAACGGCGAGTCGGGTATGTGAACGCCGTTGAACTTGACGTGGATGGCGTGGATGCCGTTCTCGCGCGGATAGAAGCGCACCGAGTACATCTCGCCGTCGATCACCTGGATGAAGCAATCATCGTCCGTCCCGGAGGGAGCCACAATCTTGGCGTCCAGCTCACCCTTGGCGCCGTTCTTGCGCACCATAAACTGGTACGGGGCGTCGGCCTGGATGTTGCCCTGCGGGAACTGCTGCACCTCCAGCTTGTGGGCATCGCCGGCATCCGGCGAGACGTAGACCTTGAAGGGCGAGTCGGGTATGTGGCGATCGTTGAACTTCAGACCCACGCGGTACTCGCCCGGTTCGGTGACCTTGTAGGACACATCGCAGCTGCCGTCCTTGCGGTCCTTGAACTCGATGTCAGCCTTGCTGGGACCCTCCACCGAAATGGCCAGGGAACCGCCGCCAGCCTCACGGGTCCACACATTAAACTCGGCCGCCTCGCCGACGACGCCGCGCTCCAGTCCCGAACCTCCGGCCTTGACCAGATGGCTGCCCGAGTCGCGCAGTGGACCCACGGTGAACTGGAAGGGCGAGCCGGGTATGTGCATCTCGGAGTAGCGAACCGAGACCGTGTGCACGCCCAGCTCCTTGGGCACAAAGTGCACCGCGTAGAGGCCATCCTCCACCTCCTGGATCTCTGCATCCTCGGTCACGTTGCTGGGCGAGGTGACGCAGGCGGCCAGATCGAACGACGTGATGCCGGGCATCTTGAACGTCAGCTTGCACTGGCTGCCGATCTCGGTGATCGGAACAGCGTCGCGCTCCCGCTGGATCTTCTCGCGCTTGCGGTTGCTGCCCTCGCCGGCCACCTTGACGGTGAAGGGCGATCCCTCGACGTGGTGATCGGCGAACTTTAGGTTGACAATATAGTAGCCCGGCTCGGTGGGCTTGTACGAGATGTTCAGAGTGCCGTCGTCCTTGTCCGTGCACTGAATCTCCGCCTTGCTGGGACCCTCGATGGAGACGGAGAGGCCGCCGAAGCCGGCGTTGCGCGTGTCCACGGAGAAGATGTTGTCGGCATGCGTCTGACCCTCCTTGAGGCCAGCGCCGGTGACCTTGACCTTCTTGGCGTCTCCCACCTCGCGCTCGCACACGGTCACCTTGAAGGGGGAGTTGTTGATGTGCTTGCCCAGACGCTTCACCGACACCAAATGCTCGCCAATCTCGCGGGGCGTGAACGAGATGCCAATGTTGCCCGTGGGCATGCGCTTCAGGAAGCAGGGCTCCTCCAAACCACTGGGCGCCTGGATCGAGGCGTTCAGGGCGCGCAGATCGTCGTCGGTGATGTCGCCGGGCATGGTGACCTCGGAGCAGGAGCCCACCGAGATCTGGTTGCGCTTGCGTCCCTCGCCGGTGATCTTGGCAAAGTACGGCGATCCCTTGATGTGCTTGTCGCCGAAGCGAACGGACACCTGGTACTCGCCAGGGGCAGTGGGCAGGTATTGCACGGAGACAGTGCCGTCTTTGTTGTCATGGTAGTTAATCTGAAATTCAAAGATTCTATTTATAAATGGTTCTAGTTCTGGTAGAGGATCCCTCGCTTACGTCAGCCTTGCTGGGTCCTTCGACGGCCATGGTCAGGCCACCGGCGCTGGCTCCCTTGGTGGAGATGGTGAAGTTGGCCGGCTCACCGGTCACTCCGTGGGTCAGGCCAGGTCCATAGGCAGTCACATAGCCGGAGGTGATCGAGTCGACGTGGAATTTGAAGGGAGATCCTGTGGGTAAATAGAAATTAGCGACTCTAGAAATACTTGAGATTTCTTAGCCACTCACCTTGCACGGGCTCTCCGTTGTATTTGACCACCAGCTCGTGGGATCCCTCCTCGCGGGGATCGTACTTCACCGAGACGGTACCATCACGGTTGTCCTGGATCACGGGTTTGTCTACTTTACCGCTCGGCATTCTGACTTCAGCTGGAAATTAATAGGAATTTAAATAATGATGTATTAGAAACTGTCTTTAAATACTTTAATATTAATCTAGTTATTACAACCTCAAAGAAAAAACCATCATATATTTACTAACATAAGGTTTTCTATCAAATTGGACAAATATCCTATTAATGTTTATGATAATAATTTCAGAACTTGGATATATTACTCGGGCAGACTTTGATCTGTAGAAATTTTATAGATATTTCCCTTAGATAGTTCGAAAAGTACAGTACCCCAAAAAACCCAGGCGATCGAAAACTCTATTTGAAGACCATTTAATGGATGTGTTTTGTATACGCTTGAATTATGTCACCAAAGCATTTTTCAAATAATTTGCGTGGGCGAGAGCCACAAGTTTGAAAAAATCATAATTTCATTTTTATGTTCGAATTTGCGTGCCATTTTTTATTCCACAAATCTATTTCTGTTCTCTGCACAGATCTAAAGATCGAAGACCATGTTGTTTCTGTGCCCCAACGAAAAGTAAATTAATTGGAACGAATGTTATTTGCCTCGAATAAATTCCAAAAGTTTTTCAAAGTTTCCGAACAGGATATCATATAACTGAGAAACACTCTTACTAATAAGCCGATAAATTTATTTTTATTAGCTTTCGTATTTTTATTCACTATATTATTCCACGTACTTTTCCTCTGCTAGAGAGACACACCCACAAATATATGTGAAAGGATAGTTCTTGGCTGGTCTGGATGAGTAGTATCCTTGTTTAATAATCCTTAGCTCTTGGGGACCCGGAGTCCAAATCACTTCTCAACTGAACGATTGCTGTGCATCGACTGAGTGGCTAGTAATCTTTTGGCTTTCCAAAGAAATTTCCACCAACGCCTACAATTGCTTTTATACTTTCCCACGCCATCAAGCCAGAAAAATAAAAACAACATCGTTCCTGAATTTCGTTGAGGTCAAATATAGGACACACTTTATATGTTTCCCAGTCACATGTGTATATGCTCCACATAGAACATTATATAGCCACGACCATAGGTTCTCATTCCGCCCTCACCTATCTAGAGTAAGTATATGTCACAAATGCATAAAAATCTATTTATACTCCAATATGCTCCTATGTGCTGGAACGATCAATTTGGAAAGACTTTATTATGCACGTGTCTGAATTTATATTTAATTCTCGGTATTTTTAAATTCGGGAAGAGGTTTTATATACAAACAAAATTCCAATGGTTTTTTTTGCTGTCAAAATATTCTTCTCAGGGGATCATTAGTTAGAA